GCTCAATATACGTATGTATGAACGAACGATGTTACCTAGCTAGGCTAGACCAAGCCTCTAGGCCTACGAATAAAACCATGTGTTTAGTGTTTTTATTCATCACTTTACGATGTCATAATTAAGTGTTCAAATAAAACCGTGTGTCTAGTGTATCAATTCATCACTTTATATCTTTTATTTAACTAAACATGAAAATATTGTAAGATTACCTATACGACAAAGGTATACAGTAACTTGGGAATTCCCCTTCATGCGTATTTTAAACAACAGAGCTGTGGTGTTGTCTGGGCCTGTTGAGACAAACTAAACCCATGTGCGCTGCACTGGGTGAGCCAACCAATTAGCGTTCGTGTACGTGAAACAGCAACTATGTGCACTGCACTGGGCGAGCCAACCAATTAGCGTTCGTGTACGGAACTATGCCTACTCAGTTTCGTGTAGAAAATTCGACCAGACAATTGTTTCCATGGTTTGCCACACGAAGCTAAGGAGGAAAGCAATTATTTTGAGCACCATCGGTAGTTGTTCATCTCACTCAGTTCACGTGGTTTTAGATTATAACAACTCGGTATTAGACTCAATCAACGTTGCTGTTTAATGAAAATACGTTGCATTATGGTTTGTTTATTGTTATAGTTTATTGTTACAGTCATTTCACTTGTGGTTGCTCTGAAAAGGGCAGTTTGTTTTGAATATTTTCGGGGTTTTTGATGACGTCATCGTCGATATGAGGTGTACATAAAACCGAGGGTTTGTATAACTGGGGTACGTAAAAACGAGGTTCTACTGTATTCTTTTTAATGATTGCAATGCAGATAATGCGAGGTTGACTACACTAATTAAATTTTGACCAATTGAGTTTTTCTTTTATCTGTAATCTCTGTATAGGGTCATTCCGGCTCAAATCAGCCAGAAATGTTAACGTTCCCATGTGACCCATCTTGTATTTTCCTTTAAAAAATTGTAAAAATACCTTTATGTCAAAAGAAAGAATCCAAAATTTTAGCTTCAATTTCCTAGCGGTTTTTAAGTTATGACCTTTTGAAATTTAGGTACCTTGGATTCTTTCTTGTGACATATCAAGGTATTTTTACAATTTTTTTCAGGAAAATTCAAGGGTGGGTCACATGGGCTTGGTGGTTGATTTGAGCCGGAATGACCCTATAACTACTTTGAGCCTTTCTTAGTGAGAATATTTGGCTACTAGTGTAACTGCTGTAGTATGGTATATAGGGCATCAGGTTACACACAACTAACTTAGTCTAACCAGAAAAAAAAAAACCAAAGACCATTATAAGTTTTTTAAATGTATTTCTGCACAGTTCAATTTTTTTTTCATCCTGAATTTTTTCGTGTCCTGCAGGCTGCAACACAAACAGCGTTACCGGAGGATGACGATGAATTATGAGAAGCAAGCTCGTTGTATTCGTCATCTCAAGGGTGTTGCTCCTATTGGATAATCAATGATAAATCGACAACTATATTTCGACAATTAACAATATATAAATTTAAAAACAAGTTTCTACCAAATAATTCTTAACACTTTATTTTTTTTAATTACGGTATGTATATTACTTTTTTCAAACTCTGGTAGTTGGTTAATATTATGTTCTTTTGGTAGGTGATGATGCATCTGGGTGTGGGTCGATTAGCATCAGTGGGTGCCTATTGTATTTATTTATGCTTTGAAGCTTGTCTACTTTTCGTAGCTGACTCTTTGTACGGGTAGTAACCAGAGCCAGCTACAGTGAAAGCTATTTTTTTTTATACTGCTTATCTGACAAAGCATTCAAGAAGAATACTGTAATAATTTCAATTTAAAATTAAGTCTGTGTAGAGACTAAAGGGAATATTTTGTAGAAGTGTTTTTGTATTTATATCAGAAAAGAGAAATTGTATCTAAATTCACAGGAGCTATGTTATTTTGTGAGGTGGTGATGATGTTTAGGGGTGTGATTTAAGTATACCGTACTTGTAAATTTGTAATAAGTTTCCTTACGATCCTTTAATAGGAAATGGCTGAAATGATTGCATGCTGTTGTATACTAGAAATCATCAAAATTAAAATATAATAAACATACAAATGTGGTACTGTAGCTAATAATGCCCCATATACCTTACTTGTACGGAATAGTGGTAAAATAACTGGCCATTTCTTTTCAATAAACTTAATTTGTACCCGTGTGTCATATAGTAGAGTGCATTGATTTCAGGAGAGAATATTCACTGAATGATCTACCAGTTGTGTTTAAATCCATTAATATTGTAGATGTTTTTACGGTATAACCCAATACAAGAACAAGAGAACATAGCATCTTTAAGACCACAAACAGTAGTTTAGTTGTAGATTACGGCATTTATATTGTCATTCAATATTTCAATCCTGCTTGGTAACGTCTCTTGGATGGAGAAAGAAGGTAAATACTGTAGTTCAACTTTGTACTGTACTTGTAATTGTTTCACAATAACATTTATCAAATAAATGAATGCAAAGCATCAGGTTGAAGCAGTCTAAAGTCTTTTATTGATGCTGGTTAGCCAATTATAGTGGAATATGTGCAAAATTATTTTCAGGATAGCATCAGTACTGATGATGGGCAAGGTCTAGATACGTACTTCCCAAACTATAAATCGCCAAAAAACAAGACAGATGGTCAATTCATGTCCTTATTTACCCGACTACTTTAAAACAGTATTTTAGGTGAACATGCAACAATAATTTAATTTTATGTCCACCATGAATATTTTGAGATTTGTATGATGACTATTACTTTTGTGTTACCAGTTACCACAACATAAATGAGTAAATTTTTGCTTTCCACTATTTTAAAAACAATTTATAGAAATAAACTAAAAACTAAAACACTATAAGGTGATGTAATTATAAAATGGTAACCATAATACTCGTACAGCTAAAAAGCTGCTCTTACCATGTATGCTGGCCACATGGCTAAAATATATTACTCAAATTTTTTTTTATTTCATTCAAATGCAGTATTAAAGGTTGTCCCAGTTTCCCACTGTTGTAAAAAGGATGATCAAATGTCAAGTACAGGTAGTCCTTTTTAAAACATACATACAAATTTACTACAGTATCTAGACTCCCAGGACACTACTGTAAAAAATATATCTGCAGTATTTTGGATGAATCATGTACGTAAATACCTGAAAGACTGTAGGCCCAAACTGTGCATCCTCACATGAAGCATACTTGCTGTTCGAAGCAAAAATAAAATATTGTACCACTACTGTCTTCGATATTTTGATACTTTATGTACCGTACTGTGCAATATAACTTTCTACATCATTTATTATTTTCAAACATAATAATGCCAAGTTCTTCGAAAGCGTTGATGATCACTTGATCAAGAGTGTTTGATGGTACAGTATTTTACAGTCTATTCAGAATTTGCCAGCTCTTCTCCTTCCTGTGTATTTGGAATCAGGACGTACATCTCTGCAAATAAAGAAGTGGGAAAAGCAATTCACAATATTTTAGATATTAGTCTAATTAAATTGCATACAAAATTCATGGTGGGTATACTTTAGTGTATGAAAACAACCTTCAATTTGTTAATAGTAAACTGAATTACTATTGTTATTTGGGGTAAATAAAATTACGGGTCTGGTACCTTCTTAGTATTACGGCTGAAAAGGCTGCATTAATGGCCATGTCAGTATTATAACAATATACCATAGAATCAACTTTTATTTTCAAACACTCAAGGGCAGCGTTCGATTTACCCAGTATTGCATGGTGCACAAAGAAGACCCGAAAATTGTCTTAAAAACAGTCAAATTTAAGTTATCCAATGTTTTGGGCCAAAAATAGCGCAATATGCTTGTGTTTACATGAAGTGCACACATACAATGCTCCATGTAGGCTTACATCGTTGTTCATGCATCTGATTTGAATATGAGTTCGGCTTCTTTCCTGTGTTTACAATATTACCTCAAATTTCAGTGTTGAAAAATAAAGATGCATCACTGATTTTCTTATTGAAAAGTATCATTATCACCTCAGTAAAAAATGCTATTTTGGAATTGCTACACAACACAAAAACTGTATAGCCATATTTGCTACAGACAAAAAATGCTGGAAATCAAACGCTGCTCAGGGGCCCCTTTGGATTTTGTAATATATGAACTCATGAGAATCCTGGGATGTTGCGCCATTGTTACAAATGCAGTACTGTAATTTATGAATACAGTATGTTGATTCAAATTGCTTTGCTTTATTTAAGTATCTAGTTCATTGAACAAATTGAATAATGTGGTTTACAATACGGTGCTGCAAAATAAACAGTTTTTATGTACACTTCCAGAGGCCAACCACTGCACCGTAAAAATTAGAATAACATACACTTTTCCTTGTCTTCGTCTCCTTTCCTTTTTCTCTTGAATCCAATCCTTGCTTTTCTTTGCTGACTTTCCTTTCATTTTCTTCCACCTATTCCTAGAATCGCTATACTTTACTTCTGATTGTGTTGTTTCTTCAGTTCCCAAACCCTACAGAAAATATACAGTACAGTATTATATGTTTCTTATTTTTTATTGTAATAAATAGGAAAACACATTATGGTAATATTCTGATGTAACCCTTACAGAGGAGTTACACAATAAAATAGTATGTGGTGTAGTCCATGATACCTTCTTTAAATTTAATTACGACACTCCAACCATAACACTGTAGGCCTACTTAATCTAATAATATCTTATGAAAAATAATGGTAACATTAATAAAGGTTTACTCCATTGAGGGCACATTTATGGACATTCACTTCAGTAAATCTTCTATCAGCTTACACCACAACCTTACTATATATAAAGGTCCTTATACAAACGAATCGGAATAGTTTTAATCTTTTACATTACTTAACAAACAAATGTCATATACGTGTGACACATTGCAATGAGCATGTTACATATATGGTCTTCTCTCTGATTCCCTGCTCATTTTCATTGCATATAAAATCCCAATTTTTTAAGCATGTTTACTTTTTTACACTTTAATTGGATGAATGACATTAATTTTTACCTGTGGAAGTTGTGTATTAGCACCACCAGTAAATAAACACAAGAACATTCTGCAATTAGAAATACGTAAGTACTGTATTAATGAAATAATAATCCTAAAAATTTGCCTAAATACTGAATTTTTAAAATTTAAAGTAACCAAGAGTTTGAACCCCAACCCATCCCACCAGTAACCCCGCTGAAAACATCACTGTCTACTACAGTATTAACATTTTTACTTTTTTTTGTTATATTATGTTTTATTATGTAATTGAGCCTAAGAACAATTGATGTGTATTTTATAATATGTGAATGAAAAAAATGAGAAAAGAGCTACCAAACAGGGTCCTGAACAGGAGTGGGCCCAGGAAAGGAATTTCAGACGAAGGGTCTAGACCACCTCACCATAATTTGGGCTGAGGTAAGAAAATTTATGATTATGGCACCTTAGATGGATGGAAAAGGCAGTCTGAGACTTAAATTTGAATATAATTTTATTTTTTTATAATTTTGAAAAATTTAGTGAGGCCTGGAATGAATGTCCCCCCCCCCACAAAATCTGCCACTGCAACTTCCCTGGGAGAAAACTTGATTCATTGTTGGGGGGGGGGGGAATGAACTTTCTAATTGTTGTGACTAACTTTTTTGCTCTTGTACTGTTTGGATAGTCAACAACTAGGCCGCCTGTAAAACCAGCTTTCATTGCTTGCGACGTGATCAACTCAAGTTGATCTGAATTCTCTGGGTAGAATTGGAAAACAGCTCTACTGCCACGCCTCTGAAAAATGATGATAAATCTTATAATAAATTAACATAATTATGATTAGTAGTAACAATTTATTCAGTAATAATAAATACATAGTACTATATATAGCACCGCTACATCAAGATTGTAGCACTGAAAAAATATTATTTATTATTTATTACTGATGGTCTAATGCTTCATACATATGAAATTTGTTGATAAAATTATTAATGATTTTGGGTTAAAATAAGGTAATCAATAAATGGTAATCGGTAAATGATAATATAAGATAGTATATGGCATGTAATATATCAGGCAGATTTAAGGAAAGTGGTGGGGGGAGGGGCAGCCAGTCATAAATTTAAAAATTAGATTTATTATAATTAAAAATGAACAGGAAAAAAGGAAATTGCATTTAAATCTTAGTCTCAGATATCCATTTCCAGCCATCTAGAGGTTATTATTATTATTATTATTATTATTATTCTTTCTTTAGGCACACAACACATGTGCCAAGGATTGCCAATAGCGAACATATATCACTGTCCTACTTGCAGGTGACAATCCCTTACACAAGACAAACATACACACACGATGCTTTACACAAACTAAATCTCAATATGAGATTTAGAATAATTTAGGGAGTGGAGTTGTTTATGTCGTGAGAAAAAATCCTGCAACTGGCAGGAATTGAACCCAGGACCCTGGGATTGGAAGGCAAGCATCTTAACCACCAAGCTATTCAACTCCACTTGGTGCTATAGCCATAAAATTTTGTATCTCAGTTTGCCCTCTCCATTCGTAAAGTCCACCCCCCTCCCCCCAGGCCTCCACTATCTTGAATTCCTGAACCCCTAATAACACGTACCATTGAAGCATACAGAGTTGAGAAGAATTTGTATAACCTCTTGGGTGGATTGTGTGACTTCTTGTCTGCATTGCACAACCATTGAAGTGCAGATATACTGTGCAATAATAAAATCATTAGATTTCAACTTAGAATAATTCATTCAAATTCAAATTTAAGAAATATAAAATCCAATTCACATAAATTAATTATAATTAAAAATAAAACAGTAGAAGAAAGGACACGAGTCTTCCAAAAGCTCTTTCCCGACTATCAAATTTTCTTTGACAACAAATTGTTGTATGCCCATATATAGTCATGATGTGCCCATATATGGTCATGATGCGATGTCATCATAACCGTATTTAGGCATGTCACATGTGTTTGTCAAATAAAATTACCAACGATTAATTCAAATCTTGCTAAAATCTATACAACTTATATGCAGTGAAGATATGCCACACTAAATATTTTGGGAGTGTTACAGGCCTCTGTGATACCTGCTTTCCATACATATTTATTTCATAGCATACAAGTTCATCCTACATAAAGATCTAGTTATGACGTAAAATTTCTCAAACCTGGAATCAGTTGTTATATACAACTGAATATTTAAAAAAATATGTAATATGTAAAACCAAATAAAATAAAAGAAAAACGGAATAACATACAGCATGATACTAAGAAGCATCCTAAATAAAAAGATGTTAAAGACATATTACAGTTTACCTGAACAATTTATATATCTTACCTTATAACACCATCAAATGTACCAGGCCTAAAAAATAATCCTTGACCTATGTCACTGTGGATCATATCACCTTCACATTCACGTTCAAGAGCTACATCTTAAAAAAAAAAAGAAAAGAAAACTATAAAATCAGGGGACAAAAGTTTCTCATGAGACATCTAGTTTAATGAACTGTACGTGACATGCATGGCCAGCTACCTTCAGAAGGACAATTAACTAGGCGTGATCTCCAAATTATTCAGGACGGCACAAACACGTCTGGGTCAACACCCTGGGGGGCTCACTCTATACGGGGAGGTGCCGCATTTATGGGGTATATATTTTTGAGGACTTAGTAGAACCACTGTGGGAAATATGTGGGAAGTTGCAGCATTTATGTGGTATACTTGATTGAATTTGTAGCACAAGTGTGGGAAATAACCAGGGTGAAATTGGTAGTTAAAGTCCCTGGCCTATCCTGTGTCAAAGTGCCACGATTTTCCTCACGATTTTAGCAGGTATTTTAAGCTAGACTGGGTGTTAAGCCGGTAAGCCCCTTGCTAAGCCTACCTTTGGTACAACCACGAGATCGCGACCTGACGGAACACTTTTTGCCCTTGGGAACCAGTAACTACTGTGCACTCTCTGTCACTATTGAGTGGCCTTTTTCCTGTTGTCTTTTAGAGCACAGTGCGATTTTGGTAAATGGTAGTTCAAGTCCATAAGAATTTTCAGTAAAAGTGGCTGCGGCACCCCCCTTTTTTGGTTGGTATGCAAGTGAGCTCCCCGGGGGTCAACATAATATTACGAAAGCGTCTGAGAAATCGACTATTTTAATTACCATGCTTTATGAATATTCATTTGCTACGACGACTACTACAGTAGTAAATCTATGTAAACATTCTGAATTTGTGAGAGATGGGTGAGAAATGGGTTAGCTTCCTGGAGCTTTTTGCTTCCTTGTGGGAGTATAGAAAATGATGCTGATTTCTGGTAGACTCTTACAACTTGCTAGAGGCTTGACACCCCTTATTGTATTGGTATCACTGCAAGGACTTCTACAGGCCAGAGAAAATGCTTATCATAGAGATTAGTGAATGATTTGTTTTAAAATTATCCTATATAGGATGGACTCATCCTCTGACCTAAGTACTCACCAAGCATTGCCTTGCTGATATCAAGCCCGACCCAATGATGACCTTCCTCAGTTAGACTCTCACCAGACAATCCTGAGCCGCATCTGTAAACAGTTATAAAAATTTAGTTTTAGTCACAAACAGAAAGAAACAAAAACGATTATGATTATTGTGATTATAATAGTGATGATGATAATCATGTTGATGATCATGGAAAACCTAAAGAAATCAGCTCACAACCAATCAGCATGTTGGAACATGGCAGAGCAGGCAATGCATAATAATCAGACTTCACAGCAGAAAAGCTGCAACTGCAAGCAAGCAAGTAGTAATGTTGGATTTATTCTGTGTAAAACACCAAGGATAACCTACAAAAGTTTGTAGACGACTTATTTCCAGTGGTGGGTCCTTTTGGTGGTGATTGGACCGTACACTGGGAGACACTCCCATATTATTTCTCGAAGTGTGTACTGTACTTATTTAACATGCATATGGGCCCATATTGCACACAGGAACAACAGCTTAAGTGTTTGAAAGATAAACTCCCAGGAAGTAAAGCAGGTTGCACATTGAACGATTTTACTTTACCAATCACCAAATAAGGCCAAATATTATCAAATTTGATTATGGTACATCATAATGGTCAGGTACGATAACAAACATTCAAATGATGACAGTAAACTAAAATGATAATATAGATTAAAAGCAACAGATAACAAAAACAAAAATCATCTACTCTAAAGCAAACTAATGATTGAACATACCCAACATCCAAAACGTAACTAGCAGTGTCTTGAGGCAACGCAAGAAGTTCGATAGCGCGCGAAGACATAGTCATCTGAATTTCAATCATCCTTGTGCTGAAAATAAATATAATCAATAACAACTAATTACGGTAGTAATTGTTATTGTCGTGATGGAATAATAGACAATAACTTACAATTTACATAATTACATGAAACTAATTACGGTATATACAGTAATTGCCACCAAAATTCAACTCTACCACAGGATGGAAGAAATGTGTCCCTTGCTTTAATATTCACATAATAATTTAGATAATTACATGAAAATGAATATATTATTTTTTACTCTAATCTTGAATTGTAATTTTCATGTAAATAATAATTACCTGTTTGAATGCATTGTTCAAAGCATATTTTTATAAGTAGTTTTGATGCAAATACATTTTATATATCTTTTATTTTTAATATTTACAATATATGCCTAAAATAAACCACTTCAAAGGTCTTTTGTTCTTTTTTGTATGTTTATATGTTTTCAGAGGTAAATTTAGAAGGGCGCACAGAGGGCACGGTTTTTCCACTGCTGTATTTGTTTAACAGAAAAAAACACAAATTGGTATATAAATACCATGTTACAACATATAGTATAATACTGAACTTGAATTATACCATTACTGGATACATATTTATATGTATAATTGTGCTACATCTAGGCCTAGGCATATATGAAATTGGTACCCTCTGGTTTAAAAAATTCTGGATCTGCCCCTGGTTTTATATATTTAAAACTATTGTAAATACCATCAAAATCCATGCCATTACAATTGCTGCCTGGCTATGATGTATTTTATTTTTAATTGAATTTATCTATTTATCTATATATTAGCTAGCTATTTTAATAGTAAATAGTATTTTAATTTTTAAAAATAGCTTTTGGTGATCATCATTATGGAATGAAGATCTAGCTTGGTGGGTGAGATTATTCCTTTCATATACCAGGATGCATCATTAAAATCCTGTAAACTACAAAGATTTATTTTCCATGAGGAATAACAACTAAATTTCCAAAGCTCCATAATGAGCCTTTTCGAGCATAGCAGTTCCATCCTGTATTGTACTTGACAAGTGTACTTGAAAGCCTGATTTAAAATTTAAAAACTATCATTCGTAAAAAAAGGGGCGATTTGGAAGAATTTCATCAACAGTAGTCTACTAGCTAAGGATTTGTTTACATTTAGACTATAAATTTAGTAGATTTCTACACTTCACTATTTGATAATGGTAGCTAATAATAGCCACCAAAACTGTCATACATAAATCTCACTCTTTACATTTTAAATATATCTTAACATAAGGATGATAGTAAATGATGGACATGGCTACACCGTAATTAATAATAGTGACAATGATTGTAATGTATAGATTTCCAAGAAACTTTACTGACTTGGAGGTGTACTTCTTTGCTTCTTCTTCATTATAAAACTGTTGAATAAAAGCATACAATACAGTAAAAATAAAAAAGCATATCATATCCTTTTTATCTATATTCTCTCAATCTAAAAAATAAATCAAACATGCGTTGACCTCATATTTTATGACTTGACCCACCTTTTTGACAGCATATATTTAATCAATGCATCAATTTTAAAAGAGAATATCTGCTGAACCAGAATTTTAAATATAAACAGTATTAGTATCATATATCAAATTAAAGTGAAGTCACGTATGTCTTCTCTAATCTTATGTCCATGGATGACGATGAAGTAGTAAATACAAATAAATATATAAACTATAAAAATTCAATAAACGATATAATGACTGTACTGTATGCCTATTAGGCCTAGTATTTTAATAATTAATTAGGCCAGCTAATAATAAAAATAATAATTATTATCTGTCTACTACTACACAGTAAATCACCTAACTTTATTATTAACATAATGAAAAGCATCGTAGCATTGGATTCCTGGGCCTAGCCTAGGCCTAGCGTTTTTAGCCTACTACTACTACCCACTACTGTACTACTAACTAGACCTGTGTGTATATGTGTGTGATGATTTGTTGCTAACTAGCCTAGACGAGGACCAGGTCCTTCTTCAGCAGAAGCTGCTGCACGAGACCTATAACGTAACTCCTAGCCTCTACAGTGCAAGCCAGGCCTACATATTTCGACGATTACTCACCATTTCTGGGGGAGCTCTGTGCTCTGGCCGTCTACCTGAAGCCATAGTTATATGGAAGTACAATTTATTAACGTGCCCTTTAACAAAATCAAACTGTTTTATCCTACAGAAACATGGTAGAAATCTCGGAACAAATTTTAACAACATCAACACTGACATGTGTATCCTTAAAGAATGTCAAAGTTCGCTTACTTTAGAAACGTCAATTTATTGAGTAGGGAGTTTACATAAATTGAAACTCATAAAAATCTAATATATTTGTAGTGTACGTAACCTTGTTTAAATTAATTTTACAAATTTTTTTTATCATAAATGGTTTTCAATTTTGTATAAAGATATTTTCTCCCAAAATATCTACATATTGTAGAGTGTAATCTAGGCCTAGGTCTAGGCCAACCTCAGCAGTAATTGAATAGGCCTCAGATCAGTTAGCCATCAAAATGGCTGTCGCCTTTGGATCGGGTCAACCGGTGCTCCAAAGGTTGAGTAAGGTTGACCGTTTAATTCATTTAAGTATAGGTGTACCTTATTTTCTTCCTGTCAAGAATTATGTTTCATGTTTTGTTAATGTAAGTTACGTGCCATGTCATCTTATTTCATTTTCATTTCATATTTTAGACATTTTATTAGACCTTAGGCTAGGCCTAGGTCTCCTAATCCTTTCCTTCCGAGCCCCCTGTACAATAGGAAGGCCTACCTAGGCCTAGGCCTAATCAGTGTACAGCCACACGGCCACCCTCAGCGAAAGAAATATATTTTTTAATAAGGAAGTGATCTTTACTAAAATCTTATTGTTTTCATTTGATATTACACTAATAGGAAATGCTTTGGGCATCAAGGCTTATGATTTAATATCTACAAATTTATTTTAGAATATAAAATGTTAATTATGCCGAGGAGGTTATATAGGCCTATACTACTAGGCGGCCTACTTCTTTAGTAGAATTCGATCCAACTCGGCCACAAGTCAACTCGGCCACAAATCAACTCGGCCACAAAAAGTTTGGCTGCAGTCAACTCGGCCACAAATCAAGTGGGCCACAATTATTATTATTGCTGTTATTAGTGTGTGTTATTGTTATTGTTGTTTTTATTTTATTACCGTTAGTTTTAATATTTAATTTTTGCTGATATTACCGTATTATTGTTACCATATAATAAAAAATTCTCGATTTTTTTTATTCATATTATTATTATATACTAGTCTTAGTATTTTATTATTTTAATAATAGTAATTTTAAAAATATTGTTATTGGTGTTTTATTGGTATTTTTCTTATATTATTATTATTATTATTATTATTTATTGTTGTTGTTGTTGTCACCTTTATTGATATTATTACCCTATTATTACTAAGTAGGCCTAGTATTATAAGTATCATCATTATTATTATTATTACTAATTAGTATTACTATTATTATAAAAATAAACGTTATCTTTAATTTATTATTGCTGTTATTATTGCTATTATCACCTTCAATGTTATTATCACTAATTAGTATTATTAAAATAGATTATTAAATTAAATATCGTTATTATTACCATATTATTACTATTAGTAGTTAAAATAAATATTACTATTAATATTGTTGTTATCACCTTTATTATCGTTATTATGACTAATTAGTATTATTAAAGTAAATATTTGAAAAGGACCGACATGTCACTGGTGATTCACGTCATTGGACGGGTTTCAAACACAACTGTAATATTTATATTTCATTTTAATTATAAATAAACTTGTGGCCGAGTTGACTTGTGGCCGAGTTGATTTGTGGCCGAGTTGACTTGTGGCCGAGTTGACTGTGGCCGAGTTGACTTGTGGCGAGTTGACTGTGGCCGAGTTGACTTGTGGCCGAGTTGACCTGCTTCCCTTTAGTAGTACGCCAAATAATTTATATGATCACAATTAAATTATAAGAATTTATTTTCTGTTGTTTTCAAATACATTACACTAACTTTGCTTTCATTTCAGAGATTTCCAGTTTCACTGAGTGTTTTAGCGATTATTCATAACAAAGGAATCAGTAAACACAAAATTTTACACAAGAAATCTTATATCCAGCATTTTCCATTTACCACTCCTCACCAAACGTTTGTAAGCAGAGCAAAGGTTAAATCGAGAACTAGTTACTATGACACCCTTGGAGTAACCCCTAAAGTGACCCAGGCCCAAATCAAAACTGCATACTACAGACTCAGCAAAATATATCATCCTGATCGCAATCGGGGAAACCCAGCTGTGGCTGGCAAATTCTCTGAAATAAGTGAAGCATATAGTGTACTTTCAAATGTTACATTACGAAAAAGATATGATAACGGTATTTACAGTCCACGTGATCTTACACATGGTGTAAGGAGTAAGCCTCCCTTGGAGAAGGAAAAACAGGAGAAGAAAAAACGAAATGTGCGGTCTGAAGTGTATAATGAACAAGGTGAAAGGATGTACGATTTTGATGAGTATTTCCGGGCACATTATGGAGAAGCATTGCAACGAGAACAAGAAGAGAGAAAGAGAAGAGGAAACCTTCAAAAAGAATATGAAAATGTGCAACAATTGAACAAAAGATATGTTGCTTTTATGACATCCCTTGCTTTCACTTCAATTATACTCGGATTTCTGTTTATAAAGTAGTGTCAGTTGTTAATTTTTTAAATAATTATCAGGGCAGCCTAAAGGTTTAATGAATAAAGTGGTTATCTAGGCTAACACTTAATACATACTGTAATTATGGCTTTCAAATTTACAAAAATTTATTGGGCATAGTAGGGGTTGCGTTATATATACCTCATTAGTTAATAATAACATTTCATTGGTTAATTCCACATGGTAAGGAGTGCACTTCTACAGTAACCCTGTGCGTGCCAAATTACTCGTACATGAGGGAAAAAGTACTACCCAAAATAGACTTCGCACCACTTGCCTACTGTACAATTCCATGAAAAACCGTATGCAAACTGTAATTATTTACATTCACAAGTCGAAAGGGCTAATGTAGATGAACAGATTGCTGTTTAATATTTATGAGTTATAGTAAAACAATTAACATGGTTTTATTTAAGTAAAGCAGTGAATCCTTCTCTTGATGATTGGGACTACAGTACTTCCACTTCATTTTACTTCCATGTTCCAGCAACACCTGAGGAGAAGTAGCATTTACTTGTAATATACTACAGTATTCCCTAAAGTGGTCTCAGACACTGCATATTTTATTAAATTTTCTAAAAGTGTCTCTGTATGTGCAGGAGTTCTGAATTACATGTAGTCTTAACGACATAAAAAATAGAGGAATGATTTAGATTATAGTTTGATCAGTCATTTTAATATTGATGTCGACAGGTGGCACCAGTTGAGTTCTGGGGAAATTTTTCCTGTCGGACCATCATGAACCACTGTCGTCTGAGACAAAATAATTATTTACCGATCCAAAGTTATTGTGAATGCTATTTTTTAAATTGTAGTCGAATAGTTTCTCCCTGTCCCTCATGTGGGGTTTTACCCCAGAATGCTACAAGAGGTCCTAGATGGCCTACAATATTTTGAAGCCCTGTCAGCAATTTCCTGTAGTCCAGGAATATTATAGCAAATGATTTTGTGATGGTACTTCCTGATCATGCTGTCATAATCTGATGTTGTATTCTGTCATCTTCTCCATCACCATTTCAAATTCATTTAGCCCAGCAATTATTAATACTGTAGTTTAGTGTTATAGTCCTAAGGCTTTGAAAGCCTCAAGCTGTTCACTTGGTAGGTTGAACCCTTGATTTTTCTACTGAAAGCCTAAAAGCATTACGACACAGGAAATTTCTCATGTAGGACAAGCATGGACCCTCATCATTCTTTGCTACAAGTCCCTAATACTCTGGTCTAAAGCACAATTTTGGCTGAGGTTCTAGGCAGTCCCTTGATTAGGACTCCAAGGTGACAAATTTCTGGAACCGCCACTGCCCCTATGCCATGCTTCTACCGTTCACTACACTGTTATTATGGATAGTCTACTTAGTAGGTATATTGATGTCATTAAGCAACAGCTTTCTTACAAAATCAACAGACAGGCAACAATAAGTACATAGTCCACTGATTTAATTCATTATCTATATACACTGCTCTAGTCTTCCTTGATAGATATATTACATATTTTAATTAAATACAAGAGATGACAGTAATCATAATGCAACTACCTCTTAGGCTAAGTACATAATAATTAACATAATAGTTTGTATATTTGCCATGATTGTGCCCTGAAAATATTTGAGATATTAGAATATGGTTTAAAATTTAAACTATAATGTTATGATTTCTATGTAATGTAAATAGTTAAAATATTAGTAGTGATTATACCTTTTTCACACTAACAGAGTATCTTTCAACTTTGAACAATTAGTAACAAGTTGTAACAACCTTGATATCTTAAGATATTTTCTTTGTTCCACACACACAGTAATCCAAACCATGAAAAACCTCGGGAGAATAGCAGTAGGCTTAGATATCTAGGGTAGTCTTTGAGTGCACAACATTATTTTGTTTTCTGTTGGCAGTATGAATGCATGGCCAATGAATAACTTTGGACACCTCAGAAAAATAAACAGGCCTCGACGAGGCCTGTTTTTTTTCTGAGATATCAAAGGGGTCCCCTGCGATATTTCGGAAAGTTTTATATGAATTTGCTTTCGCACTACACAAACCTGGTTACAATTTGTTACTAGATGTTACTACAGTACAGTACAGTATTTGCAAAATAGTGGCAGTGTGAAAAAAGTCTAAGAAAAAGTGATGAATTTTTATTTTTAAAATATAGCAAAGAGTAAAATTCTTTTCTATTCTAAAGACAAATAATAATTTTAAGAATACGTTTATTTGACCTGATTGTTCATTCAATAGTGCAATTCCAATAAAGAACATGAGTGTCTTATACTTCCAAGTATTATGTAATATATAAATGTATCAATATTGTTTGTAAGTTAATACTGGGAAATAGCATGCAAGGGAAAGTGGGGTTGAAGAGGAACTTGTTATATAAAACAAACAAACCACTGCAGCAGAAATGAAAACTATGAGAACTAAATAATAGTATAAATTCTCTCGGAAATTTAGAGATAAAAAAAAGGACGGATTCCTGCAAGCAAGCAAAAATCTCCTGTTTTTACTACTTTAATTATCAATTGTTCCACAAAAAAAAAAAAAAAAATGTTGAAAAAAGCTCGGTGGTGCCGAGGCCGGGAGAAAAGTGGGCGTGGTCAGACGTCGCTCAAAAAGTTTTGAAAGTGGTCCAGAGAGACGTCTGTAAATCCAATAATGATTTCTTGATAATCCTGTACATTTGATGTCTAATAACTGCAACCTTTATCAATTTAAAGTATCTGTACATACTGTAGAGCCAAGATATAATAATTACAAAACATTTAAATAAAATCTACAGAAATACCTGCAAAAAAAAATTTACACCATTAGTAAATGTAGAGTAGATTACTGTAGAGTAATATTAAACTGATTAGAAAATACAGCATGTGAAATATTTTATAAAAGAAGCACATTGTGCATCCAGTATTGCAACAAGTCGTACACACACAAACAGGTTCAGTTAAAATGTATTCACCATAGAAATAATGTAACTCAAGCTTAGAGCTTCTTTTAAAAAGACTGTTCTATAAAGCCTGTGACCATATAGCTTAGTTGTAATATAAATACTATAAGAGGACATTCGTACCTAAATTCAAACTACCTTTGCTTTTCGTTCGAAACGAAAATTTGCTATGCTTAATGCACACAATACCAGTATGATGTGACATCGTTCAAGTCATTAGGGCAAATAGAAAAATTTATTAGATTATCACTCCCGCCCACATCAAAAATTCGGAAAATATTGATGCGGGAATAAAAAAAAAAATTTTTTTTTGACGCATCAATTATTTCAACAACATAAAAATAACAATGTAATTTTGTGACTTCAAATACATTTTCTTTAAAAAACTATAAAATTAAACCAGTTTTTACACAATATTTACTATTACACACCAAATATAAACAGTCCCTCCCTCATCGATAAAAACAAAAGCGAAATAATCTATTGTTCCGATTAAAAAAAAAATTTAAAAAAAACTGCCTTCCCTCATCAATTTAAAAAAAAAAAGTGATAATCTAATAACTTTTTTCTATGTGCCCTTATAGGTAGTGCTCTCCTGCATACTCTGCCATTTGGGAGATGTTTTGAGGCAAGTGTGCATTTCTGTCTTGTGTTGTCTAGTTTACTACTTATAGTATTACAGCCATGCCCCACCCTCTTTGCACAGTCTGTGAATTTTGGCTTTTATATTAGCCTTATCATATGTAGTCTCAACTACTGTTTACTTTCAACCAATGAGCAGCAAGTCTCACTACCCAAAACATACAAGTATTTCACTGTTTTTGGAATTTCTGCAGATATTACACTCCTGAAGATGATTAAAGCAAATCAATCAAAATGTTGAGATATTCTCAACCAACAACAACAGTTCTTCTCAGAACTATCTACATGGTGTACAGCAAGCATTAATATATTATTATTACTTCCGCCATGCATATCTTTGAACTAAGTATTCTTAACAATAAATTATGCTTAGCAGTAGCATATCTATGGGTTTTAACATAGGAGCTGATGGGAAAACAATGGGTGCTAGCTCTGGGAATGAGATGATATGAAATGATTTGTAACTTTATTATTTTTTTGCTCAGTGGGAAGGGAAAGGGACACTTTTTTAAAGGTAACTTACACCCCCCAAGCTCTTCCTTGATACATAAATCCTGTTTAGTGAGCGATACATTTAGATAACCTTGCCAATCTTAGAGTCGTAATCCTGTATTTCACGTTTTCCACAAAATATATTTATCTTGGATATGCTCCAATAGTAGGCATTGGTTGTTGGGGCATGTACTGGCTACTGTTGTATGCACTCATATGGGACTGCCCTGGATAGCCTTGGTGTGATGAATATGGTGCCTGATGAGGGGGGATGGAAGGTTGGTGGCTGAAACTTGAAGGGACAGTCTGTTGCTGTTTTCGCATAAGTTTTGCAAGTTCTTCTGATTTGGTTTTTTTCAGGTTGTACACTATTCTTTTTGCTTTGAATTCCTCAATAAAATCATCGACATTCTTTTTTCCATCTAAAAACTCATCTGCTATAACCTTAAAAAAGAAAGAAGAATAATTTGTGTAAAATCTAAACACTAAAACCCTTTTCACACATACACAATTTTGCAAACAAGTTTTTGGTTATATGTAAAAACAAATCCATTTTGCAGACTTTCACTGTATACACAGCAGATGGAGAACATTACTAGCTGTAACAAGCAACATTTCAAGTGATCAATAATAGTGCAAGCAAGCAACAGTTCTGTTGGTGATAAGGATAGAAGTACTATGGTGATGAAGAACAACGATGATGGTGGTGTTGGTGAAGATGGCGGTAATAATTATAACAATGATAATAATAATAAAGTTAACAAGTATGATGTTGTTGAAAAGCTTTTTAACTAGGATAGTGATATAATTAAAATGACAATTTTGTTGATGATGATGATTTATGATAATGAATGATGATAATGCCGACTATGATGATCATTATATAAAGTTCATCACTGATGTATAAGCTACTACTATATATAAGCACAATTCTATCAAATCTTTACCATGATAATTGAAGGTCTTACCTCAGCATCATCTTCAGTTTGTGATGTTGCTGCTTGTAGCAGGGCTAAAACTGAATCGAGGGAATGCTTGCTGGACAGAATAGCTACGATTAAAACACAAATACAAAGTAAATATTATATGTTCACATCCAACATGGAGTAATTTCATAAATCTGATAAAAAAATGAACGTGTCTTACTGATGTCCTGTAAAAAACACCCATTCACAAGGTTTAAGGACGGAAGTTACCATTAATTGCGAGATTGAACCTATAATCATGGTTTTGGAATACAAGTGCCAAACCGCTAATTCTTTAATATACTTCTTCACAAGCAAATAACAGCAGAAAATTATTTACTTTTACACAGCCACTGAAATAAGGCATAGCATACCAAGTACTCTACTGTTTTCTGTTCATTTTTATAACTACTCTATTCATCTGTATAAAATATGCACAAAACCACATTCATTTATCAATGTTTATTATTCAGTGCTTTTTTCACATGTTCGTGTGTGCTTATAAATGCTGTAGTAGCAGTTGTGGTTCAGGTTCTCGACCTTGAGGTCAGTGGTTCAAATCTCACAATGATCACTTGGCGCGTCTTCTTAAGTTCTTGGGCAAGACCAGTGGTGGCTCCAGAAATTTGCCGACGAGGGGTATGACATGTCCAACAGCAGGGTCCTAACCAAGGGGCGTTGATCAGGTTCCCGGAATAGAAAATCCTGGTAGGGTTCATGGGGAGTGTTTAAATTGCTAGTAAGAGTATGGCAAAACCTGTGCTTTAGACCACAACATTAGCAATCAAAATAACGTTTTTGATAGGCAGATTAATATTTTTGGTCGGACGACAGGATGTCCAAGCCTGAACCTCCTCCCTCCCCAGTGCCACCACTAAGCAAGACACTTCATCATGTCGTTGTCCATTAGGTCCCAAGAAAATGATGTTGTGACATTAAATGTATTGGCTTGTGCAATTTACTGTAATAGAAAACCTTATCCAGTAACAAAGGAGGTTGAATGTTGGGAATGTTTAAACTAATTTTCGTGTCCACCAACAACTGTTGTTATATTACAATGGATTATGAAAGTCGCATATATATAAATATATTGTATACTTAAAAATATATTTAAAAATTAAAAAAATAAGAAATTGATAGACACTACATTAATTTTATCAAGTTATAAGTAAAACTGAATGAATAATATTATACCTTAAACACATGGAATTAGTAGGAGTTTAATTAATTTATTAGACATGAAGCTGGATTATCTGTTTCTTACTTGTTGAGTTTTTGACTGGAAGCTGATGTGAATTACTTATCATCTCCTTCTGCTTCTGGGCTGTGGTTATAAATGCATGTTTTGGGGTTTAAAAACTTAAATGCATTTCATTAATCAGAAGCCAATCAGAATCAAGATGCAGCTTGCTATCATGTAATAGCAACTGAATTTGTTTCATCAAAGTTATAATGCATGGGCAGGGGCCAAAATGTTTCAAAATACAGTACTGTATGTGCATTTATCAATGTAAAGATTAAAATGGCCAGTTTGTACTTAAAATAATTTTAGTGAATGTTAATAAAAGTACAGTATGTGTTTTTTAAAATTTTTTTAATGCATTTTTATAATACCATGCTATAATTATTTTAACATAAAAACAATCTTCTTTAGTAAATTTGCATAACAAAAATAAACAAAATATTATGTTAGGCCAATGTTATTCAGGATTGCTACTTCAAAAGAGATTAGCTGGCATCATTCAGTTAATAATTAATTATTAGCTTTTGTGGCAGTCCACGTCTAATGTTTGATTACCACTACCAAAGGCAGATCAAGGGGCAATGTAATGTAGTCGAATTAAATATAGCGCATTACACCGAAGTCTAAATGCACTTAAAAGAAAAGAAACATCTGGTGATGCTCCTTCCTATTGTAACCAAAAAACTATTTTGAAATCCAAAGACTGAGCAGAAAAACAAAACATCACTGCATATTTCGCCCGCAATTTGAAACGATCGACAAGCAATGGTTGGCCAGCATATTTTTGTGACACAGGTAAAATCCTCGTCCCCAATTCAGGACAGTAGCGACCAATACTGACTATATTATAGAGCATGAAAAAAAAGAATAAATAAAGGCTCCCACTCCCACAAAAACCATCCCAACAACAAGAATCAAGCACTATTTTGGGCGATACAAAAATATTTCTTGAATTCTGATTTGTCTGCATTTCATAGAAGTGTCTGAAAATGTGTTTTTCTTCTGTGTACTTGTTTCATACACATCAGTAAAAAAAATGCTTCAATGGATTCCTTATTATGTGGGCTTTCCAAATATGTATAATTTTACTACCTCTAATTGTTACCCTTTAAGCTATATGAAGTTTAGTGTTCCTCCATCAAAAAAGACAGAAAAACATGGTGAGACGCAAAATGGTCCGACCTCATGACATTTTACATAAAAATAAATAGAAAAAAATAAATTTGACATTGCAATATTATGCTGTATTTTGTCAAACTGACAATACAAATGTAACAAGAGCCAAGCAATACTTTGGGTGAAAGTAATTTTTTAATTTGGATTTGTCTGCTTCTTGTAAAACCGTGTGTTAAAGTTCAAATGTTTTTATTCTTGTTTCTTTGTATTGTAAACTGCAGTCAAAAAAAATCAATGTGGCAAAAATTAACTGCAGTGCATGTTATTGTCACAGTCTAAATAAAAACAATCTCAAAAACATGCTATACATGCTGGATTAGTTCCAATAGCTTTTTCTTTTATAATTATGTAATTATTATTGTTATTGTGAGCTAAAATGATTTCAACAAATATACATAAAAAAGAACAATTTTCTAAATGCCTGCCAAAAATATAACAGCAAAAACAATGACCATTTTTAATTTTTTAAAAATTGGTCTTCCTTGAGTATAAGCTACATTCAGACATAAAGTGTGGACTGTTCTCTTACATTGCTACATTGCTAAGCTAAATATTGTACATGGTCCTAAATATAAGGCAGGGGCGGATTTAGGGAGGGGGGCAAAGAGGTATCCCCAGGTTTTGCCACTGCCGTCTTTCATGTTGTATCAGAAAAAAAAACAAAATGGCATAAAAATAGAACCTACTAAATGTTACAATATTTTGTAACAGCATTATACTCAAAATGAATATTTGTTTAATTATATTACATTTAGGCCTATTCGAAATTGGTACCCCCTTTTTAAAATTATGTAATGTTACTGTTGTCCTGCCTTAACATAAATTTCTTTTTGTTAGAGAAAATCTTTAAGGCTCTTCAGACTTCCTTATTATCAATGCATTCTTTCTCTGTTTAGATCTTTTGATCCAGCCCTTCTCAAGGTCTATGCATTACATATTCAATAGCCACATTTGTACAGTACTTGCCATATGATTTTCAATTAAACCTAGGCTGACAACATATTTGTTTCATATGTTTTATTCAATTTGGTTGGATAGAATCTATAGTAGATTGGCATTTAAAAAAAAATGAAAAAAAACGACAAAAAATGAAAAAAAAGAAAGAAAAGGAAAAAAATATATAAGCCCAGAACGCCTCAAATTTAATTATCGGGCTTCTAGAACACAAAAATTTTGGGGGGGCATGCCGGACTCCCTAGAGATCGGCCCAACTTTAGGCCCCCTTTCGGCCCCACTTTTGGACATCTCTGGATCCGCCCCCGATAAATATTATTAATAGGAAGAGGTTATTCGCACGGTACCGTGCGAACTAGGAATAAGAACTTATTCGTACGGTATGACAGCCGTTACGTCATGAAACCTTAAATGCTGATTGGCTAGGTCTACCGTGCGAATAAGACTGATAAGAGCTAGTTCACACGGTACCGTGCGAATTGTCAAAACAAATTTATTCGCACGGTAGAATGTTGGATAGATATACTGTATGATAATTATTTCACGGCATACCGTATGAGTTGGGCACAGCACAGACAGTCGATTCGATCATGGAGTTATAACTCCATGACTCGATAACCCTAACTGAAGTGCAATAGGTCCTAGCCTGTCTCTTATACACATCTATGTGTATAAGAGACAGATGTAATGTAGTCGAATTAAAATTGGCACGGTTAGATTAGACGTCATGAAACGTCAAATGCTGATTGGCTAGGTCTACCGTGCGAATAAGACTCATAAGAGCTTATTCGCACGGTATACCGTGCGAATAACCACTTTCTTATTAATATTGGACAGAAAAAGATGAAAAATACTGGAGGATTTGTGTATGCCTGATGATTGATTGAATAACATATTATTTAGAAGTGTCACACAACTCACCAAGGTTTGCTGAGTGTTGTTCAAAAGCTTCCCTAATTTTCTGATTCTTCTCGTATGATCTTGCAAGCTTTTGCCTGCCTTCGATAAGTCGAGGTTCCCTTGAAAGATTGAATTCTGCTAGGCTACGATTCTCTGCCAGACACATCTCTCTGTTTAACTTCTCTTTTTGAACCTGTATAAGTGTATTATTACGCAATGACTACTACTGTATTAAAAATGAAATCCATGTGGGCAGCAGTAAAGGCTTTGGGGTCAAGAGGTCGCCAGTCTGAGACAAATGCTGTCCAAACTATCAAATTATATTTGACCGAACCATGTGACATGCCTAAATATGGCCATGATGACATCACAGTATGACCATATAGAGTACTACGTTGTTATGTCACGATACCACGTGATACTTTCAGCGACCCAAAATGCGGTCAACAGGATCCACTGTCTCCACTGACGAACTATTATTGATCCCAATTTCTAATGTAATTATTAGATGTTGTATCTTAAATTTTCTTTGTAAATTTTAATTGATGATTAAATGTGTGTTTGATAACATAATATAATGCAAGCTTTTGTGTTTTTAGTACATTTTGATGGTAAATTATCAGGTTTTAAAATGCCTATTCCAGAAAGCCTATTCTAAACCATTAAGATTATGATTCAGGCGTAATGACCGCTTTACCAATGGTAACCAACGTCTGGTTGACAACAAAGGGCACCTACTGGTGTTGTGACGACACAAGTGTTGTACTCTATATACCTATAGGCAATATCACATCATATATATGAGCATACAACAATTTTTTTGTCAAATAAAATTTGAAGCCAATGACCAGGAAAAGATGCCTTGAGCAATTTTTCTGAATGGGTGTGTAATATATAAAACACTATACATAAAAAGAAAATATATTCATTTATTTAAGATTCCTGTGAGCAAATAACTTTTTTTTTCTTAAGATATATTCCAACACATTATAATACCGGTAATTTAAAAATGAAATCAAAACATTATTAAACATTAAAGCAAAATACAATATGTATGAAAAAAACCTTAGATATAGAAATGATATTAAATTCATATAAAATACAAAAAAAATTAATAAAATTGAACGTACAGATTCTAAATCCTTGACCATGTCAATAATTTTATCTTCATTTTCAAGCAGGGCTTGGAGTTCTTCAGTAGTTAATTTTTCCAAGAGAGGAAACTGGCTAGGCTCTTTTGGAGGTGTTCTTTGAGCAGGCTGTGGAGGAGGCGGAGCTGGTGCACGCTGAGGCGGCCGACTTGGTTGTGGAGGTTGAGTATACTGTGGGTAAGAAGGGTATGCCGGATACCTAGGCTGTGCCTGCTGTTGATAAGATTGTTGGGGTTGGGCTGGATACGGGGGTCTCTGGACGGAGTATGCTGGTTGATATGACATATTATAACTCATAATTGTCAGCCAAATGTGGTAGTTATTGTTCAAAGATGAAACTGTATTGCTCAATAAAAAGAAAAAAATTACAGTAATTATATCATGAGAGGGACTATCACTCATAAATTTTGAATTATCTTAAACCATCATAAATTTCCTTCCACTGAACACCAGGATTATCCTGGGAAAATGACTGAGGCTCTAGGTGCTTCCTTGATTTTGAAGAATTCTGATTCAGACACCCTGTCCAACACCCTATGGGCAAATTTCAGGTTCCAACGCTTTTTAATCAAAAGGGCAATAACTCAAAATGGCAATGACCAAAAGAGCAATAAACTAAAATGGCAACACTTTTTTACCAGAACAGCAATGGACCAAAACGGCAATAAGTCAAAACGGCAATAAACCGAAACTTTAAGGTGGTGGTTAACTCGTATTTACCTCGAATTGATGGTTATATTTAAACTGCGTGAATAATATAAAAACATTGAAACTCAAATAAGATTAACAAACCATTCTGATCCAATATTTATTTATGGTATACAGTAATTCATCAGTTCAGTTTATTTCAAATCATCAAAATATTGTACAAAATAGATAAAATCCGCACATGGCAAGACAAGCAAATACAACAATAAAATATGATGCAAGGATGGTCTACAGGTATGAAAGGAACTCTTTAATAAGTAGAACTTATTTCCAATGTGGTCCTACTTAAAACCAATTATAAACATGAATATGTACAACGATTAAATATGGTAAAAATTTAAACATATCAAAAAACATTAAAATACAGATTCTAAAAAAATTAGGCTAAAACTACATAAAAGTCAAAAACACGAAAAAACAATAATAATAATATTATTTAAAAAAATTAAATAATAAAAGGGGGAAACACAATATAAAAGCAGTAAACATTCAAATAAATAAAACTTTAAAATACAGGCAAAATGAGGCATCTATAAACAAATCGTCATGGATGTGTACAAAAAAAACGCGATTAAACGTTAAAAGCAGGAAAAAAGAGCCCATGGCAATATTTGATGCCTACCGACGATTGGAAAAATTTGAAACTGCGGCCGTTTGGTCTATGCTTATTGCCGTTTGGATACTTATCATTGGCGTTTTGGTACTTATATCATTGCTGTTTTGGTTTATTTCCATTTTGGTTTTAATTGCCGTTTTGGTTTCTGCCGTTTTATTTTTTTGGTCACATAACCATTTTTTGACCTGCTACTGTTCCAACACTGCTGGCCACTGCCTAAAAATAATAATGAATGAGGCCTATTCTATGGCCTAATGGATAATGAAAACGAAATTCTTACGCGTGTTTTCAAAATTGTGCGGATGAAAATTAATTTTAACTTTTTTATTCTATAGGCCTAGGCCTGTATCTGTAAAAACTGTATGCAACCACACACTCAGCTAAGCTCAGTAAAAAAAAAGGCAACGGTCTGTGGTCAAATGTTGGAGGCCTAGGCCTATTTATATGAGATATGCAGTCGTTTTGCCTTATTTATGGAATGTATATTTTCCAATAGAACTTACCAGTTTCTATCTAGATGTCGAGTTGATAAATTGATAATATCAATCAGTATTTGATATCTAGTCCTAATACAATACTTTCGATTGAAACAGTTCCGCGACTCAAGGAAAAAACAAAATGTAATGATTATGACTAACAATGGTAACAATAATAAAATAAAACAACGCCCTCTCTCGATTATGTATTAGTGGTGGTTTACAAACAATGGATAATCCTATCAAACTAACAGTAAAGGGGAAAATAATTTTTTGGGTAATAACTATACAAGTGTTACTGTTATAATTTTACTTTGAAGGGTTAATATGCAGCAATCCATGTGGTAATGTATTGAAATGAAATGTAAATTCACACCCAAGAAAAAAAAAAGGAAAAAAATATCAGCTGTGTGTATTCCAGGTAATAACTATCAGGTATTCAGGTAATAACTATACACTGATACAGGTATTTCAGGTAATAACTATACGGTATTATTACATTACCATGGACCTATTTTTATAGGATCCTCCATGATTATACGTACGTTGAATGGTTGATGTACAACAATTCATGTGATAATGTATTGAAATGAAATGTAAATTCACATAAAAATGAACGGAATAAGCAGAGACAGATATTCAACTAAAGAAAAAAAAACACTATTGAATTTTAGCTAGTAAATAATACAGGTATTATTTTTATAAATATTAATTTATGTGATAATATATTGAAATGAAATGTAAATTCAAATAAAAAAAATAAATAAGCTGAGGATATTCAACTAAAGAAAAAAATATGTATAAACAATTTTGCATTTATTATACTTACACAATATAGTTATTTATAATTTTATATAGAGTACTGTATACCATTTTATTGTATAGAATGTATTGTAGAAAACAATGATGAATAAATGTGGGTTACCCTGCAAAAGAGAAGAAAAATCAATGGAATATTCATGTTGATATTCATATGCAGCAATAGTTGATTTTAAGTATCATTTGTATATATATATATATTTCTATGCTATACAGTTCTTTTATACATTCCGTTCCTCCTTCCCCTGACTGAAATAATGATTGGGGTTTTTTCGATCATTTACCTTGCATATTATGATTTCCAAAAATGATACTGAAAGTATTTTGTAAATATAATACTGTATGGTGTAATGTGATCTGCCATTATCATACTATAACACAAATTACTGTCTTGTTTAGTTACATTTCGTTTCTAGTAAATATGTTTACAGATTATTATAGATCATTATAATTGGTGCAGTTTTTAGTATTTCATGTTTTATTTTTAGTTCATATTTGTGTAAAGACAATTGCAAAATCAATATTTATTGATCTACAGGATTAATAATAATAGTAGTAATAATAACACTGTAATAATAATTCTAGATAGTACTTAATTTATTAACAGTGCATGAGATTTAAATGTTAAATTTGAACTTGGATCATCATTTAGTCTTATTCACGAAATACTGTAAACACCAAGCCCGTAGGCAGGATTTTTTAAGTCTTAAGGACTTTGAGACCTTACCCACATCAGTCATCCCACCATGGCTGCAGGCTAAATTTTAAAGATATAATGCCTCAGATATTCGGAAGTGGCAATAAAAAATAAAAATCAAAGTGTAGTACAGTAAATGGGACTGATGAAGGATGGGGAACAATGAACAATGTTGGGAAGTTGGTGGTGTGGTAACTGGGGAATGACCGAGTGTAATTTTTTGCTCAGCTAATTTTCAGTATGGTGGCATAAGCTTTTTTTGTGTATGCACCCCTAAGGTCTCCCTCTTAGATATGTATATCACTGTGGATAACCTAGTTTGTTATAGGTCATTACATTAATAATCTGTAGCTTACATAAGTCGTGTTTTTTGGGGGTTTTTTAGCCTAATATGCAGCAGCTTTGAGAGATAAATTATCTAAACCTGAATGTGTACAACAAAATAAGACATACAAAAAAACAACTAAAAAACAAAATACAGTATAGTGTACTTTCAAAAAGTAATGGTTTTATTGTGAAGAATCATGATATAATACATAAAACAATGAATATATTTGATTGAATCAAGAACTGAACCAGTGATTTTGGCAGTGGTAGCGCCAGGGATTACCTAACAAGATTTACAAGGTCATCAATAGAAGGTCCGAAGTCCCCTACCATGGGCCACACCCACTTCATTTCCATGGTTGAAGTAATTTCAATAGGCACAGCTAGATGCCCAGAAATGGCAAAAAAAAAAAATCGTTTTCAAAGTGGTGTTCTCCAATGAAAAGATTTGTTTATTGCCCGTGGGAAAGGGGGTCAAGGATTAGTCTTTTTCAGCCTGAAGCTCCTGCTGGCACCGCATCTGGATTTTGGAGTACTTTTCTGTAATTCCATAATTCTAAATTACCGTTTTCTTGTCATCATTCTTAGTGCAGATCAAATGCTATTCATAAGTGCATCCTAACCCATCACAAGAATAGATAATTAGGGGTGAAGCTGTAGCTTACTGGTTAGGATGGTTGCCTTCCAATCTCATGATCCGAGACTCAATTCCTGTCAAGTCCAGTAATTTTTCTTAACCAACAACAGCCCTACTAAGCATCTTATGTGTATGTTCGCCTTGTGTATTCCATCCTGCCATTGATATTTACCCTGTTGGCTAAATACTAAATCAGAGCCAATAAAAAAAAAATGGAGAACACAGGATGTTTATATTCTAAGCAGGCATTAAAAGATTGAATACAGGCTTAAATCTATTCATTGTGGCAGACACAATAATTATATTGTATGTGTTACAGATGATATATTAATGGTTTCTTCCCATTCAAGATATTTGTTTCAGTGATGTTACATTTCAGTACACAGCTAAACAAATTATATATTCACAAACAAATGCCTTTCATCGTCATGAATACAGCTTAATGAGCTCATCACTAACAGCAGAGGGTGTAAGGACACCAGGGTCAGAGAACAGCAGGGTTATATATGCAGGGGGAGTGTAGTCGATTAGTGGATGCTCATGACTAAGATCAGAATTGGATTTCAGCGTTGATGATTTATACTGCAAAAAAAAAAAAATGTAAACATATTAATAAATTTACATGATATTCAGAAATATATAATACAAGTACTGCAGTAATCAAACATAGATGGGAACCTCTACATAAGTATAGGTATTGATGATGAAGATGTTGATGATGGCAACCTTGTTGGTTGGGTGATGATCACCTTGATGATGATGATACTGGGTTATGCTGAAAATGCTATTGCAGGAGTGATGATTTTGATAATTATTGATGTTGTTGATGTTAATGAGAATGATGACAATGATAATGTTGATGTTGATGATGATAATATTGATAAAGATGATGATAATGATAAGCGTACAAACCTTAAATTCATTAGGAACATCCTGTTGATTTAAAGGAAACAAACGAACAAACTTGAAACTTTCTGCGACAACGTAAAATGGTTTGTTAGCGACCTTGGCACATATAGCTATTTGATATGAACCAATCTAACAAAGAAGAAAAAAACATAGCTATTTTTCTCAATTGGCAAGTTTCTTTCACTTGTGTGCCAATGAAATGAAACACACATCAAATAGGTTTTCCTCTCTAGTCTTATTTATGGTGGATTTCAATGACACAGTTACCCATTCGCTATAATGCAAGGTAGCACTGGCTGTACAGTGAACCAAGCGTATATCTATGGGGAAGCGCTCCAAACGTTGCCCCCACAAAAAAAAAATGCTCTAGTAGTTAAAAATCATCTCAAATAACCTTATTTTGCAAGCTTGCTCCCCCTCAACTAATCATCGAGCCCCCTCCCGCTTCACCTTCATTCCCCCATCAGCCCCCTCCCCTATTTCAAGACACCTAGATATGCCACTGAATGAACATACAGTAGAACCTCGATTTCATGTACGGTACGGGACCGGAGGGCGTACGTAAATCGGGGGATTTGTAAAATAGAGGTTGGGTTAAATTTGTGGTAACCTTTGACCTAATACGTACGTAACGCTCAATATACGTATGTATGAACGAACGATGTTACCTAGCTAGGCTAGACCTAGCCTCCGAAGGCCTACGAATAAAACCATATGTTTAGTGTTTTTATTCATCACTTTATGATGTCATAATAAAGTGTTGAAATAAAACCATGTGTCTAGTGTATTAATTCATCACTTTATGTCTTTTATTTAACAAAAGAACATGAAAATATTGTAAGATTACCTATACGACAAAGATATAACTTGGAAATTCCCCTTCATACCTATTCTAAACAATAGAGCTGTGGTGTTGTCTGGGCCTGTTGAGAAAAACTAAGCCCATGCGCACTGGGTGAGCCAACCAATTAGCGTTCGTGTACATGAAACAGCAAAACCATGTGCACTGCACTGGGCGAGCCAACCAATTAGCGTTCGTGTACGAAAATATGCCTACCCAGCTTCGTGTAGAAAATTATAGACCAGACAAGTTTTTCCATGGTTTGCCACACAAAGCTAAGGAGGAAAGCAATTATTTTGAGCACCATCGGTAGTTGTTCATCTCACTCAGTTCACTTGGTTTTAGATTATAACAACCTGGTATTAGACTCAATCAACGTTGCTGTTTAATGAAAATACGTTGCATTATGGTTTGTTTATTGTTATAGTAATATTGTTATAGTCTTTTTACTTATGGTTGCTCTGAAAAGGGCCGTTTGTTTTGAATATTTTCAGGGTTTTTGATGACGTCATCGTCAATACGAGGCGTACGTAAAACCAGGGGCGGATTTAGGGGGGGCGTCTAGAACACAAAAATTTCGCGGGGGCATGCCCCCGGACCCCCTACGACAGTGTTGTCTCAATCGGGACAACTTTCGGCCCCCCTTCCGGCCCCCCTTTTGGACATTTCTGGATCCGCCCCTGGTAAAACCGAGGGTTCGTATAACTGGGGTACGTAAAAACGAGGTTCTACTGTATGTGTAATTATGTTAGATTAGTGTAGTTCAACAGCAGTGTAGTTAAAAGTTGAATTATGTTTACCTTATTTATAATTCCACCACTTTCAACCACCCCCTCTGCTCCAACCAGTACCATGTCAATCTTCTCCATTATGTACCTGTACATTGAAATCAAAATTGACAGATTATTAGTTATTAAAACCATATAAAGCAAAAGCATAACATATATGTTGAAGCTTGCGGTATACCACGTAGGTAGTTCAGAAAAGAACTGTTGTAGTTCTTCGCATAACATGAACACAACGGGTGCCCTGTACTCCCATCCCCCCACTGGCACCGCTACTGATCACATAACACTTAAATACATATCTGACCGCATCGTAATCAACATCCAGCCCAACCCTTTTCAGAAATTTTAAGACAAGAACGTAGGCCAGGATGACGAACATGAAGATAATGAAACTCGGCTAGATCTAGACGAGCAATGGACAATTAATTATTTACTGTTGGTACATGCATAAATCAGTCAAGGACTGCATGTTGAGGGCGCTATGGACATAAGATGTTGGTGGTGTGGTGATGTCAAATAGTAGTTACAGTAATAGGAGCAAAAATTCAAGCTGAACGCTATTGCCAACGATTTATATTACAACAGAAATACTGTTAAAAGTTTAACAAATATACATACCCAGAAGCAGCATCTAGTATGACACAAACTGGAATTCCTGAGGCTTCAAGATCTTTTGCCATCTTCTTACTAGCAAAAAAAAAAAAAATGTGGAAATCAATTAACTTAATGACATCTGAAATTATTATATTTATGTTATATTATATTATTATACTATATATACTACATAGTACATTACTAACTACTGTATACTAAACATATACTAATCTTAAATTTTATTTGATATTTAGACGACAACAAAGAAAAGTAACAATGTTAGTATTTGCTGCCCTCTATGACTACAATAGATTCACTTACCCAGATTCGTCAGGGTTGGATTCTGTGACGTAAACAGTGAACCTTTTCTTCGCCGCAGCAGCTTCTTGTAAAACTTTCAAGACCACGCGAGAATATGAGTGTGTAAGAATTCTCTGCATAAAAGGAAAAATACATATAAATAAACATTTATTCCTATTTTTAGAGAATCATAGGCAATCATAATATGTTCAATAATAACATTCTATTCATTCATTAGCTGGATGAAGCATTAAACCTACTTCACTGTCTTCTTTTCAAGCTCTTATAATGAGAATGTGTTTGTTATCTCAAACCAGTAGATGTAAATACTGAAATTACTGTGAGTAATTGTTTGTACTACTCTGAAGATGATAATTCATGTAGGTGCGAGTGTATGAGTGTACGTGTGTCTGTCTGTGTCTGCGGGTGTGGGTGGATGTGTGGTGTTCCTGATACTCACAGATCCATCTCGTATGAATGGGTTAAACAGCCTTGCAATCTGATGTCGTGATTGGGCAACTTTATCTAAATAGACATTACCTCGCTGAACCAAGATTTTCTTACAATCGTGAAAATCCTACATGAAAAAAAAAAATTCTGAAATTGTAACATCCACTACTAAAAGAGAATTACAAGCAAAAACATTAGATTGAAAATTATTCTTTAGTCATATAAAATTTCTAATGTCAATGATTAGTCGCAGCAATACAATTTGTGTGTAGGGGTGGGGATGATTTATTTCTAAAAGTCAAACTCCGGAGGGGAAAAAAAATGATATGTTGTAAAACTGATTTTTCTAAGACAGACGAAAAACTGGGGAACAGTGAATGAATGAGATACAGATTTTTGAATATTTAAAAACTTGGAGAAAAGGTAAAAAGGGCAGTTACACCGCTTTCTGCCCTAGTTTTTAAATATATAAAAAATCTGTATCTCATTCAAAGTTCTCCAGTTTTTCGTCAAACATTTTTCTGTCTTGGAAAAATCAGTTCTACAAAATTTCTTCCTCTGGAGCCTGACTTTAAATCCTTTGTTACCTAATTGTTTCTCAGTTATATTGATTTTGTTGGAATGCGCAAGTAGAGGCACTTGATAGTCTGCATACTTTTTTGAAATTCATAGAGGGCAGCATTCCATTTCTGTTATTTTCCAGATAAATAGTTACTGATTGATTGGTATATTGATAACTGATATTGTGAAATAAAATGATAATAATAAATATTTGAATGCATATCAGAATTCATGGATACATACCATTTTAGAATTATTGGTATCCATTAAAAAGCGGGAAAAAAAAATATCTATTCTATAATGAAACAGTTTTTCACATTATTATAACCCCATCAGTTGTGGAAGCTATTTGACGCAGTGGAAATAGTTTGGTTTCGGTATCGGAGTTTCAATCCTTTAGCTGTGCATCTTGCTTGTGAATTTGAGCAAGGCACTTTATCTACATTGCTTCAGTCTACCCAGCCGTATTAAGGGGTACCGGCAAATTGCTGGGAGTAACCTGCGTCCCTCCCAGTAACTAGCGAATAACAGAGGGGGAACTTCACACTCTGATCCGTATCACGATACCTGGAACTGGAGATAGGCTCCAGCCCCATGAGCCCTATGGCTCATCAAGTATTTACGTTATTTAGATCAGTTTTGACAGTTTATTCAATTTAATTCAGCATTTGTAATATCAATACATTTATATTATATGTAAGATATATCTACATTATATTTTTTTTCTCATTATTGTATGTACTGAGGGTCTCAATTGATCAGCTCAGGCTGGATGGACCCCACAATATATTGCAGAAATAAATAATAATAATTTTTTTTGCCTGGATGGAACTGTACCTTGTGTTGTGTGTACCCTGTTTTAAAAGTAAGTTACAATCAATAAATTATAATGGTCTATATATGTGAATAATCATTAATAACAATATATAAATTCATAATAATGTATGCTTATAAAAGAAAGGATGTACCTGTTGTTCTAGAGATGCTAGTGTAATAAACCTAAGGAATAGCTCACATCCTGACTGGATCGCCGTGGCAGAGCTGTCTGTATTAGTGACCAACCATTCAATACAATCCTTTAGATTTTCACGAAGACCTTTCAGAGTTTCAGCTGAAGCAAATACACACAAATTAGAATAGAAGCAACAAAAAGGCTTTGAATCCATATAATTATGGAGGTATACATAAGCCATCTCCTTTACTGGAGATTGGTGGCAAAATTCTACTAATATTCTGTAAACATTCAGAAATATAAATAAGGGTAGCTAGAAAACAATTGCTAGATTACCGGTATCTTCCTTTTTTTTTTTATTTACAAAAGATGCTTTACAAAAAGAAATTAATTTAATTTTTTGTTTAAAGGATTTTTGATGCATAAACACTTTTTTTCATATCTGTCCCAGCATAAATGCTAGGGCTGTTGCTGGGGAAAAGTATGTAGGGGGTAAATTTGAATGTTTAGGGGAGACAGCAAATGAGGAGGTGAGTTTGTAAGGAGCAAGTTTGTAAGGGGAAAAATTTCGCTAAGACCTGACTGGTCCCATAAAATGGATGATAAGCTTTACAATTACGTACTGTGTTACATAGTTTTGACCCGTTTTTATTTTTTGAAATTCCTGCTTCCTGAATGCATCCACCATTGTTCATATAAGCAGGGGTCCCATGTGGAAGTCTCCCGGAAATCAGGATGTCCTTCCACAATCCTGCAAGCAAGAATGTTCAGGAAAATAACCCTTCTCCCTGCAAATTCTTAATATTTGCAGGTTTTTTTACTACCATATATTATTATTAATTTCTCTCATTCAGTGCAGATAGGTATCACCATTAGTAGAAAAATAAAAGTACTATAAAATTACTAAAGGTGTAATTTTGCCCTACATGACGTGGAAATGTACTGAATACTCAGTACGTGTGAAAACAATTGCGAAAAAAATCGCAAGTTGTTCTCTGGAGATCGAGGGACTCAAACCCACGAACTCCAGATCACTAGCTTGGCGTGATACCTCTAGACCACCGAGCTTGTGCTTGATGGCCAGGGTTGAATTCGAGTCCAGGTAAGCAGCTCATCTCTCATTAACCGTTCCCAAATAACAATTACTATAAATTTGTTAGAGCCAGGCTCCGGAGAGTAGAAATTGTTGATATTTCTAAAACACAAAAAGTATATTTGACTAAAAACTCAGGAGTGGTTTAATTTAATAAGATACAAATTTTTGAATATTTATTTTTTAATATTTCTCATTAACCGATCCCAAATTTTTTTTGTCATAACATGCTTTTTGTGTCTTAGAAAAATTAGTTATACTGCATATCAAAAAAATGTTTTCCTCCGAAACCTGGCTTTAAACAAAGCTCATTTTACTAGATCTCTTAGAAATGACTTGTGCCCTGTATAAGTTGTCTGCAACCTTTATTAGCTCAGTGAAAAAAAAGAGTATAAGTAGAACAAAAGAAGATACTCCTGTTTGTAAATACGTCACTCCTTAGTGCAGGACGCAGGCTGACAATTGTAGGTACTTTATTACCCAGTATTGCACCATGCACTGTTTGTTTGTTCGTGTATCTGTTTTCCAATTGAGACAATACTTTCATAGATTTCCTTATTTCACTTTATCGTCATACCATCGTGCGCAGTGCAGTACCTGGTAATAAAGTACCTACAAGTGTCAGCGGGCGTCTACAGTGGCTGCGTATTGCGTATAGTTGGCTCTTTTGTTCTATTTATACTCTTTGGAGAAAGGAAAAAGATTGATTTTTAAGGAGGAAGATGTGCCATATATTAATGGCCATTATGATTATTTATAATTATGAATTACCCTGACTAAGCTTTAGATATTCGATGAGTGTTTTGATAGCCGCAACTGCTGGAGAAATGTCCGGGTCATTGGTTTGGCACTGTTTGAAATATTCCACAATATCTGGAAAATGAACATACATGCATTTGTGTTTAAAACAATACATTGCACTGCAAAAAGAAATAAGACATGAAACCTGAAAACTTCATAGACAGTAACATAGCTTTTATACGTAGCCAAAACTCTAAATATATAGTCATTAGCATGAATAAATAATATTAAATAAATTCAGAAAAAGTAAAAGCTGATTATGTTGGTAAGCGGTGGTATGCATGGAAGTGCCTGTCAGTGCATTGTTTTGCTAATATAATCTACCAATTTAACTACCTAGGCGTAAGCCATTGGCCTTGAGGCTACGGTTTACTTAGCAGCTGCAGCTAGCCTAGCCCTTGGCCTACTGACTAGGGTAGTGGTGGTAGTACAGTAGTACGGCCAAAAGCCACAAGAAGGGGCCCTACCAACCACTGAACCAGCAGGGAACAACCTGGCCTAGCCTTGGCCTAAACTGAAGCAACAATTAACATTGTTTAAGTAAAGTTATCATGGAAGCTACTAATGATAAATCAATTTAATCAGTCTACCCTACCTTCGTTATTCATTTTACGCAAGGGATTTAGGTACCATAATTTAATAAATGAAAGTAACACTGTCCATCTTGTTTCTCTTCTGTTTGAGTAGAAATGATGAATGATGAAAGATTTCATGAGGGCGCAATACACCTTCAACGAAGGATCGAGCACAGTCTAGGCTAGAATTTTTTTAAGAATTTGTCATCAGAAAATGTCGCTAGAAACTGTTCCAAAAGATCTAAAACATTTAAGAGCCTGTTTAGTGTGTTCTCTTATAAAGGTATTTAGAAAACAGCATATTCATTATATAATCAACATTTTTATAGAAAGGGTTTTTGTAAGTAGACTAGCTAGGTCCCTAGAAACAGCTGGTTTGACGCAGAACACGGTAGCCTCTAGGCCTAGGTAGGAGGCTCCAGTCGGAAAGACTAGGTCTAGGCCTAGGCCTCGTAGAATTATAAACGTAAGTGGATAGGCCAGTGCCCACCGACCGAATACCGTTTCCGCTGCTATGTATGAAACATTTTATATACTTTTTCGATTATATATTTTCGATAAAAGTCAATCGAGATGTCATCGCTGCAACTCCCAACCATGGAGTTATACAAAATAATTATAACTCCATCCATGTCCCAACAATGTTATTTACCTATCCCAACCATGCACTAATTTTTCATTAGTGCATGGTTTGCTTAATTTTTTTAGGTTTGTGTGCAAAAAAGGTGAAAAATTGTTCTGTATGTATCGCACACCACGATGAATTGTAGGCTAGTGTTGTCCAGACGTTCCAACCTCTAGACCTGAAAAGGAATTTGCAGGTGAAGGGTGCCCCCATTCCCACCAATTAGGGAAAAGCGCCCTTAACTTCGAAATATTCTGATAGCATTAACGTCTTTCGAGAGGTGTATAAACGTAATTTATAAGATACCTATGTTTTTTCATCCATGTGGCCTAGCATGTATTTTACCATGCGAATCCCATGTTTTTTACTAGGCCTAGGCCTATAGTTTTTGAATTTTGGGAGAACTTGAACAATTTTGGGAGACCGGGAGATAGCATGTAAATTCGGGAGACTCCCGATCGAATCGGAAGGGTTGGAACCTTTGGTGTTGTCACACCTAGCACTAAAACGTGCGTCTGCGGAAAGGGAGGGCAGACACTCGCACAATCATCGTTTGTTGACAAGTGGTAATTTAAAAATTATTTTCGAAAACCAAGGTCGATTAGAAATCAAAGAAAGTTACTTCAAATTCAATATTATGTATGAAAATTTAAAGAATTTCTTGAGTCAATGGACCCTAATAAACTATAGAAACTGACCATTTATAGGAAAATTCTAGATTTTAATGTACTTGTCAATTGTAGTCCCCCACTCCCGGCATCATATTAACGTACATCCCCAGCTAAGTCCCCGCCACTTACCCCTGTAATCTCGGTAAAATGCCCCACTAATAAAGGATTGGATGATAAGACCTACTTGAAGGTCTGAACACGATTTTACTTGTCTACTCCTAATTAGGGCCTATTGTATTCTCTCAAATGCTTTAAGAAATGTTTATTTCTTTGATGAATGTCTATCAAAATAGCATTACAAGTTTTTCAAACACACTCAAATATGTATTTATCATATCCGTACTGGTGTTTAACGTCACTGTGTGTTAACGCGTACGCAGCTGCAAAAATCAGCATATGAACAGCTAAATGTAATATGCAGACAATACACTCATAATATCTCTATAGCAACCTAACCGATTACTGCTTTGACTGCTACAACAGTTGATTATCAAAACTAACATTTATAGATGGTGATTGACTTATAAAGCATTTAGTGTAGTAGTGTAGCTGTATACATCGTAAACTAGCCTAGGGAAAATTATTATAGTTACTTAGGTTAGAAGTGTACAGTGATATGCTGTTGCAGTGGTATGTGCCTATAAAACTTGTGGATCGCAGATACGCAGCTGAGGCCAAATATCTTCCCAATGTGTTAGAGCATGTTAGAGTTTATAACATTCGGCCTCAGCAATTTTGTATATTGTAAAAATTATCTAAAGAGGGCACATATTGTACTGTACAGCTAAATAATTTGTGTTTTAACAAAATGTTAGATATCAAAATAAACATTCTTCTTGCAGACAGTGGATCAGTTTGAACTAGATGGCTGTGATAATTGTGAAGAGTTTCTACACATGAAGGGAAGTCATGATCTTGTCTTTGATTGTACAAGCTCAAAATTTGATGGGTAAGAAACATTATTACTTTATATAATATCGACCCAAACAAACATCTAGGCAATTTTCTTTGACCTACTTCCCAGGACATTCCAAAACAGATACATGGATCATTAACTTGTAAACAAAATTGAAGTAAAATGATTAAAAATAATTATAATGTGCTCCCTTTACTAGAGCAACATTTAGCATGATATAAAATTAAATTTATTTATTTTTAATCTGAAAGAGTCTCAGAATTCTAGGTTCAGGGTCCATAGTTTGAGAACTGCTGTTCTAAACAGCTTTTAATGTCCAATTATGCATTAAACAATATTTAGTTACTATTATCATTATAATCAATAAAAAAATGTATTTTGCATGGTGAACATTGTCAAATAGTGGGTGCAAGTGGTTAAATTTATGCATGTATCTAGTTTAGTTTCTGAAAAAAGACATTTTAGCTGCCAAGATGCAGCACCCTCATTCATTTATCCTTTTTTATTTTATTTCGTCAGATTGATATCATTGATGAGTCCTGATGATAGCTGGGTTGGAAAGTGGCAAAGAATCAGTAAGTTTTTTTGTATGGCTGACAACTTGATAAGCAATGAATAATCTTGAGCATGAATAATCTTGAGCATGAATAATCATCATGGCTCCTTAAACATAGATCTACATTCTTTAATGGCAAGTCTATGTCATTGTTTAATTGTTTAAAACTGGCAATAGTGTCTTTGCTGAACCATGGAGATCTTTGTCTCCCCGGTTCAGTGGCATATCTAGGGGGTGCTGTGGGGTAGGGGCACACCCAAAAAAGCTCCAATCCCCAGTCCCCCCCCCCCCATTGAAAATGTCTGAAGCAAACCAATCACGCTCAAGTAGTTAAAAATCACCATATTTTTGCAACCTAGCAACCACTTATTTAACCATCACCCACATTTTCATGCCCCCTCCACTATTTCAAACCTCCAAGATACACACACCACTGCCCTGGTTTTATTCTGCCAAGCTGTTTTCTGTAGGAATACTTTTTCAAAAGGCGTTTAGGTACATCGTCCTATGGGCCGTTGAAGTCCAAATATATTTCTTCCTATGAGTTGCTTTATGTTGTTAACACATTGGCAACCATAGTGAAGGGTACAGTACTTGCTCTACAAGAGTTCCACCTTAGTATACACTAGGACCTCGTTGCACAACCTTTTTAGCCCACGACTGAAGCCGATAAATCACATCCGTCACTTTATATACCCGTGAGGGATAGTTTAAAAACACCTAAAAATGAAAACAACACTTAAAATTACTCATCATTTAACAATACCACATAAGTTACCAGTATCAAATTTTTCAATAAGTTCAAGATTTTTTTAAATTAATAATTTACAGACATTTTATTATAAATTCCTTAAATTGTTGCCAGATATTTATGGGTTATGCGAAGACATAGACACATTAAATTTGAAAAATGTTTTCTTCGTTATAATTTTCAACTGAAAGCCACTTCGAAATTAACAAAATTAACACTTTCAAGTTTTCACACCTGAAGTACAAATGTTTTGATAGTATATTTTTAAGATAAAACTATGATTAAACCACGCATTACAAAAGTACACTGAAGCACATACCACACTTTAATTGTACTTTCGTTTACTGTAATTTGATTTTGTTTGTCCTCATTTGTATTAAGTGAAGTTTATACAATCTGAAGAGATTATGCAAACCCATCAAAATTTTTCCGCGACCCATAGGTTGCGGAACGGTGCACAAAGACATGCCATACTAAAAATCTTTACGGGTGTAAAGAAATATAATGAAACACAAAATCCATAGACTAGCTGGCCCCTCCCCAACAAAAATGAAGGAAAAGTCTTAGAGTGACATTTTCAACCATCTAGTGCTGCCATAATGATAATAAATTTCACACCTCTGCCCCTCCATCTGTCAAATCAGGGTCCCCTCTAATTTGAATTCCTGGATCTGCCTCAGAAATCCCAATTGTTTTATAGACACCTTTACTTAGTTGGAGGTGGTAGGTGGTAACTAATAGCTTGCATTACTTTCTTATTTACATTTCTTTGTACACCATACTCGATGAATTTGTTTGTGTGCTTATTTTTCAGACCGCAATGTTAAAGGCTGCTACGCAATATCCGTCTCTGGTAAGCTACCTGCAGGAATAGTCAATGAGCTACAGAGTCGCCAAGTTCACTATCGATCAAGAGATACCAGTGTCAAGTCATAGGGGCTAATGAGACCACCGTGATCAGGAAATGTCATACGGACGGTAATCCAATTGGTATCAAGGTGTCCATATTTTCCTTGATGGTCGATGATCATTATCAATTTGCAGAATTAAGTTTGGACATTGAAGCTTTGTAGATTCTGGAGATAATTTTACTTAAAGTTGATGAAAGATCTTTAAAATTCTAATTTTTAATCATGCTTTATGAATTCTGAAGATTGCGAAGCTGAGGTATTGTGTAAATAGTTGAACATTTGCAAGCATTTTCCCTGGCTTTAATTAGCTTCATTCCATAACCACTATCCTTAATTAACAAGCCTGCCACCATTTTCCATGCAGACTACTGTTTGTCAAAGTAGTGTTTTTCAGTAGCATGTGTATATTTCAGTAGCATGTGTATATGTACAAGATAAAGAGAGACAAGTGCTGTTTTCAATCAACTTTATTGCACCTCCGGGTAGATTCAGGTGAACAACTTAACTATTCTCTTGATAATCTTGTCAACAATTGTTATTTAACTGTTTCATTTATGTTGTTCATTTGGGGAGAATTGTAATAAAGTAGTCAAGTTTTTCATCTGAAGTATGTCAATCATTTATAGAATCAATCATAGATTTTCTTTCTCTTCATCATTACATTTATAACTTCTAAATCAAACTCAATATTGCTAGTATACTAATCTTGTAGTGCATCTTATTAAGTGAATATATTGTTATAAACAAGAGTAGAGTAATCCATATAACATTTATATAACTACAATCACAACTATTATATAATAAATATATTTATCAAGATTGCACTACATATAGATATCATTGCACTTCCTTAAGTTTTAAACTATTGCTTTTTGTTTTTAAATCTGAGCTCACTTCAACAGATAAATATATATATAGTTTAATTAAATAGTCATATACAAACACAAGCGTAGTAATAATTGGTTGTATAATTATACAAACTAGTGCTTAATTAAAAAGTGATAAAACATTTTCCAAACAGGTTACCCTGAAATAATGAAGCAATTGAGGATGTCAATTTTTCTGCATAGATAAAACATGAAAAGTTGGTTCCTATAAAGCTTGCATTTGATACACTCGTAAGGCTTTGTCCGCACTATAACATTTTCTGTGACAAAAAAATGTGAAATGCCCACAATTGTGTGTAATATGACATCATACAAATTCACATAAAATTTGATAGTGTTGACTAAGCTTAAAGTTCTGTTTACACTGTCTAGATTTATGTGGTAAATATCTGTGATTTGTCTATATATGGGCATTATGATGTCATTTTACAATTCATCTACTGTTCAACCGATGACAGTACGTCTCTCAAAGCATTGGTCACTGCTGACATTCTGACCGCCATCAATTGTTGCTCATCTTGAGTTGCTCGCCGCACTTGCACACAATGAAAGGTGTTGTGAGTCGCGTCCAAGGTGCCAACGCATCGCAGCCAGTGTCCACGGGTAAATCTCGGCAAGGAACGATCCTGAAATTTAAAATCTTTATGTCAATATTTACACATAAATACTGTACATAAGGACACATACAGATCTCAAAAAACATTTTCAGTCTGCTTGCTGAATAATACCATTTAAATAATACCATTAAACTATTTCTGGAAGGAAATTTAAAGTTTCTTGCTGTTAAATGACTTTTTGTAAATTATTTAACGTTGATGACCGGTGATTTTGTTAAATGAGAAATTCGAAGTTCTACAACATAAATTTGCATAATATTTGTTTTAATTTCTCTGTTTTTAAACTTTACTAAGAATCAAATATATAAAAAAATTCATTAATTACGAAAAAAATTCTACAGAAGAGTAAAACACCTATCCAAGAGACACCTATACAATAATTATATGCTTATTGTTTTAACTTACTGTTTCATAGAAGATACACTTGACTGTGGCATTGCTATCCTTTAGAGAGAAGATTTTAGCATTTCTGGATGCATCAGTGGAAATAGCTGAATCTAATTGGGCTGAATAGATATGGGAGATATAATTAAACGTATTATCTTGAGGGTACATACAGATGTTGGTCATAATATGAATAATGAAAATGAATATGATTTAGATTATTTTGAGGATCAGTGGAATTGAGCATATTAACATCATCTTTAATAGCATCATGCTCAACATCATTATCTTTCTCAACATCATTTTATAATACAATATATATATACATCCTATATAATACTCAGTTATAAGACCACCCTCGCCAGCTCTCACCAACAGGAGGCCTGTCGCCACCACTGTAAAGCCGACTTTTACAAGTACTCTAAAAAAAAAATCAAATATTGACCATGTAGTGGTGACAAATAGTTTTTTGATTGCAATGAGTATCACTTGGTAAAAGCCCACACCCCAATTTTGTGTGCAAGGGGGTTGGGCTTATTATACTAGAGGAACTACAGTACATATACAGATATATATTTTTTGTGTGATACTGTATATAATTATTTTTTTTTTAAATTACGTGACAATGAATTTCATCAGTCTTGAAACTGATTAAAATATAGATTCTCACCATAAATCTCAAATATGAGTTGAAATTGTTGTTTGTATTTGGACCAGTGCCTGACGCTCTGAATGGAGGCAGTGATGAATCGTAATGTCTCCTTCACCAGGTGCTCGTTTCCCATCTTCATCCTTTCATTTGTCTTCGTTACAGCAAGCTTCGCTGGTTTCGCTCTTGTCTGGAATTAACAGGCAGGGGGTGATAGAGGAGGTCTAATTGATATCTACTTATAGAACACTAATGGCTTATGTTCATATTTTGTACAAATTCATTTTATGTTCAATTCACACAAAAGAAGATTAACAATAGCAGATGATTAATAGTTATAGTTAGTACAGACTTAAGCTAAGGTGGAGAAATGTGGCATTCTCGAAGGAAATAATTTACTTATGTTATCAAACACAAAGGTTACATGGGATCGATTTTATACGACATTAGCACGATTTATTATATTTTGATTATTATATTATAAATTCTGTATTAACAATAATAATTACGTTATTAAAAATAAGATAAATAATTATGAGGGCCCTACAGCTATGGTTGTTGTATTGGTTGAAATCAGGGGAAGTGATTGCTAATATACTTTCCTTAAATAACCTTTCCTTTCACAATGAAACAAAATTTAAAAAGTAACAAACAACATTAGCAGGCTGTGATTGGTCATTCATTAGGGAATCCTTACTCTATTACAATTAGTACTGAGTATCAAGTAGTGTGTTTTTAAGCTGCATCAAGTAATTATATTTTTGACAAGGTATTAAACTCAATTTATTAAATAACCTCTAGAGAATGCAAAAATATTATTTAATATGAATATGTTTGGTAAACAATTTATAAACATTCTTGTTATAAATATACATTCACAAGTGTGTGTGTGTGTGTGTATATGCTGTCTCTTATACACATCTAGATGTGTATAAGAGACAGGCTTGCTGAATAATACCATTTAAATAATACCATTAAACTATTTCTGGAAGGAAATTTAAAGTTTCTTGCTGTTAAATGACTTTTTGTAAATTATTTAACGTTGATGACCGGTGATTTTGTTAAATGAGAAATTCGAAGTTCTACAACATAAATTTGCATAATATTTGTTTTAATTTCTCTGTTTTTAAACTTTACTAAGAATCAAATATATAAAAAAATTCATTAATTACGAACTTGTCGTTGATTGTTGTATTGCTCCATTGTATTATCATACCTCATTGATGATACAGTAGATTGAGGTATCTGCTGGGAGGATACTGTTCCACTCATCTGCCACTGGCTGTCCGTCTTGGCAACTGAGGTGTTTAGTCCTCTCTGTTTGGGAACATTGCTAGCCCTAATTTTTCATTAGGAAATTAAATCAAAATAGACTTCTTTTGTATTTCATTTGGTGGATTTCAATTTTAAAGTAAAACATCATAATATTGAAATAGATGCAAAAGCATAGGGAAGTGAGCGACCCTGCCCACGATGAGCTCCTGGAACCTTTTGAACCGGGAGGACAGTACCTACAAGGTTATAGGTTAATTGAACAATTGAAAAAAAATTTTAATTAATTAATTTAACAAATATATATATACTAAGAATAATAGCACAGAATTTGCTGGTCTCTCTCTTTAAAAAGCAGTGTACTTATATCAACTGGTATCAGTCAATGACAGCCTGATGTCCTCAAGACAGTGGACGGCTAACAAAACAAGTAATTGCATATACCGATAAATTGCCTTCATCTCCAGGTCGCCCAATGCCCCCCTCCCATAAAAACTCCTCTCCTCAACACCACCAGGGCTCCTACAGACCCCATGGACCTCTAGCTGACAAGAAACCCCTCTTTAACAAAATCTTGATTATGGGCCTGATTAGAAGTTAATAACTTATTGATCACTTTATAAGATGTATTCCCAACTGATTGGCAGTTTCTGGATGGTTTACTCTTATTAATTATGGTTCGAGTAAATAAATATAAAGTTTTAGGTTTTTTCTAGATTTCACTAAATACTATCTTAGCACAACAACCAACATTTCTTTCAGTGGAGGTGACAGCCAGTGGAGTGGGGGGTTTGGGGGACCACATTGGATTAAAAATATAATTAGACATTAAATGGGTATTATACATCTCAACAGCTAAAAAATATTTTAGAGTCTACAACACTGTTACCTGTGTGCAGAATCTCTGGACAGCTCTTGACTAGAATATCTTGGATCCTGTTTCTGCTGCTGAAATGTTGCCTGATATTGTTTTGTTGAGCTACCTGACATCCATCCTCCTCTACCGGGTCCACCTGTTTTTACTCCACCTGGATTCACACCACTTGTTTGTAATTGTTGCTGTCGAAGTCTGCCTGGATTCGACTTTTTACCAGAAGTTTGTTTTTCTAAATTAATATATTGATAACAATTGTTTCTGAATTTAAACTTTTGTAGACTTAATGGTAAATGATTGCCAACAAAAGATTAAATGCATTCTGTTAAATAATGAAAAATTACATAAATAATTTAAAAAAATAATAGCCATATTGAATGATACCACAAGCTAATTAACTAATTAGTATTTCATGCTCTAGAGAGTGCTATGGCTTTTGTTTTGGAGCTATAAATTAAAATAAATTTCTTGTTATTGGAACCAAGAAAATCATTAAAAAGTTAACTAAATTAAAGAATTTTTTTTATAACAGATTGAATTTAATTATGTAAAAATTTGTATTTTAACATTGAATACTGACAGCAGGTGCATGATAGAACTGATATTTAATAAAGGCCACAAAATATTTGTATCATAGATAAATATAAAAGTGAATATAACTCAAATTCAAATAATAGATGTGACTGATGTACAAAGTAAATGCATCTATTGTACTATAATTTCAATAGGATAGTTCAAAAAATGACCTCCTTATTATATTATCAACGACATTAATACATAATTACGACATTGCATTCTATAGGAATTAAAGAAAACGACTTTATCGAAGCGAGTTTGTACGGATAATTCAATATTTACCAAGCCTATATAAAGATATTGGCAGCCCATTTCATATAATAAAAATTAATGAAATTCCTTTTCTTTCGCTCGTAAAAAATTTCACCACTGTCTATGAATTTTGATCAGTGTTTCTTTAGAACATTTTAAACTAAAAATACTGGAATATGTTTTCAATTATTTAATACTATTATTATCATTACTAATTAGTATTACTGTATTACTATTATTATTACTAATCTATTTTATTTTTATTATATAATTTAGTATATTACTGTAAATGATCAAATAAGCCCCTCTCTTGAATAAGTACTGCTCTTGAATAATTTTTGATATTATTATTTATAATTTGTGAATTTAAAAAATTGTTTTTTTTTTAATTAAATAAACATTAGAACCCATAAGCTTAATTTCTTATTCACAAATTGTGATGCATTATGATATATTAATTAATGTTTCATTTAAAAAGTGGTGGGGCAACCCAATAACAGAATGGAAGAAACTATAATGTAGAAAGGAATTATTTCTAATTCTAGTTTTCAGATAAAAAACACTGGATTTTACTAAATTAAGCCCCACGAAGCATTGCCTAGACTCATGTGTTTTACTGTAGTTCAATCAAACCATGGATGAATATTCTTCTTGCCTTCATGATAAAACCAAACAATATAACCAATAATACACAAGTATCTCAGATCATTAAGAAGAAATTGAATTATATTGTTAATTAATAATGTAAGCCTAAAGAAAGAAGACATGAGAGAGCATTTCAGATATTTAAAAACAACATATATTGGCATGCTTGTAGTTTTATTGCAAATACTCAATCTCTATTACTTTCATTCTCATAAAATAAAAAGATAATAATCAGAAGTCATTCCATCATGTCTCCTGTTGTGGTAGTAAATTATCTGATCTATCAATCCTGTCCAAAGTATTCATTTGTATCTATCAGATAATATTTTTTAAACTTGTACAATTTAAGAATTCAAGCACCATTAGCGACGGAATGCTGTTTTGGAAGACTGAATGACAGTTTTATTGAATTCTAACTCCAAATCAGACATGCTAAGTAAAAGCGACCTATCTTTTATTCAATGCCAACCATTATAAATAATTATCCTTAGTATACTATATTACAGTTAAAGATGTATTTTACCCTGAAAATGCAAAAATTAATAAAAAATGATTTTTTAATTATCTTTTTTTTTTTTCTTTTTGCAGTAACATAAATTATTAACTTGAGCATAGAAGTTATTGAATTTAAAAAATGTGTACCCTGATTTTTATACTGGATAATGCTAATAAAAATAATAAAACACTTTTAGTAGCTGGAAGTGTTTCTATCATTATTTGCTGTAAAATTATGGGTTACTTTTTTTTTAAATACACTAATTTCTATGTTGAATTTGATATTTTTTCTGTTACATCAAAGGAGAAAACTAATTTCAAAAATGATTTTTTTATCATTTTTTTTTTTTGTATTTTGCATGGGACAATACATATTTTACGTCATAATTAGATATTAACTTACCAATATTATTGTCTATGAATGTTAAATAAAGTTTGTAAAAATTGATTTACCTGTTTTTATTGTGAACTGTTTTTGGTTAGACTGGGAGTAGTTTAGACCTGCATTTCCGGACACATTTCTATTTCCATAGGGACCTACATTTCCTTGGTACCCAGCATTTCCTTGGTTACCTGTATTTCCGTGGTAACCACCATTTCCTTGGTAACTTGCATTTCTTTTGTGAACAGCATTTCCTTGGTAACTTGCATTTCCTTGGTAACTCCTGTTTCCTTGGCTACCCATGCTCGGTGATTCATTCCGTATTGGTGGTTGTTGCACAGGTTGCTACAAAAAAATCATTTAGAATGATAGATTTTCTGACTGAAACTTGAAAGATCATAAGTAGCACTTCTTGATTTTATTAAAGTTCAGTTTTCAGTTAAAATACAACTTTTTTTTTGTTGAAAATGTCACATTTGTAATTTTTTCTCTATAAATTAATTGTGAAATATATAATAGAAAACTGTAATAGTAAGTAGTACCTGATATTTGAGAGTGTGTTGTCCAGTAGACGATTTACATTTCTGAACTGAATCTATCATTTAGTTTCCATATGAAAAAAAAAAGTGTATTTAAAATGCTATACTTTACTGTGTGATCTAACATATTTTAGAAATAAAATTTAATATTTTAACTGTTTCCTAAGAAAATTATTAGCTTTCAATTTCTTAAAATAAATTACAATACACTTGTTTCACCAGATATGAGATGCATAAAAAGTAGCATTATTAGTGTTCTTTGAATAAATCCTTTTTGTAAACTGCGACAGATTTACTTAGTAGATATCTGAAGTAGCATTATTTATCCATATTCATATTTGTGGTTTAAACCCACAGATTCCTACTAAATGTACTCAGGCAGCACCATATCGAAGGGTTTGATGGGTGAGCAAGTTGGTGGGGGTGCAATTAAAAAGCGAGGGGATGCGCTAGTAACTGGGAGAGAAAGGTGATATGCAATGAATTTTTACCTGCTTAAATGTATTTTTTTTTTTTTTTTGCTCAGAAAAGCATCAGAGGAGAGACATTGGGGGAAATTTTTGGTGGAGGATTGCACTCTAAGCTATGACTACCCAGATCAGTAGTAAATTCAATTAATTCAAGGAGGGGGTACCCAGCAGACCTGCTCCACCCCTCCTAAATTTTTCAAAATTTAATTTAAAATGGAGATAAAAAGAAATTTATATTCACTGAAGGTACCATTTCCAGCCATCTAGTGGTGCCATAATCATATAAATTTTTTTACCTCAGTTAACTATCAAAAAAAGGGAGAAACATTTACTTACCACCAATGCCTGTTGTATTGTTTGGATGTGCTAGTAAGGCTTGTCTCGGACGTTTATTCCTATTGAATATGGGTAAGAATGCTGGTTTACCTGTTTTAAATAATAAGAATGTAATCATGCATGGGATCCGAAAATAACAAAACATATTTTATTCACAAATATATTAAAGTTCCACATCCAAAAATGTAACAATGTTAATAATGGAAAGTGACTACTCTCTAGTACTAGGCTAGTAGAAACCTAGGCCTATCTATCTAGCAAGCCTTGTTGTGGTGGCTTCTTGGCGACCCCCTCCTATCCTAGCCCATGGAGTTAACTCAATGCCTAGCCTAGGCAGGCCCTAGCTAGGCCTAAACCCGACCCTAGGAGGCCTAGCAGAGCAAGAGAATTAAGACAAAATAATAGTAGCACAGTGTTGCACCACATATATATCCCTAATTTATGTAAACCGAGCATAAACAGAGTAAATGGAATAGATTACCACAATTATTTTGCATTTCTGGCTGAAAAATTAAGCCTTTTATTGAGAATCGTCCTCTCTTCTTAGGTTGTGGTCTGCAAAAATTGATTGGATAAAAGTTGCGTGTCTGCTGCCATCATCGTCCACGACTATACACAACTATAACAAAAGAGTATAAAACTGAACTAGCTAACTTATACAACTCTTTTGGAAAGTATAAGCAAAAAAATAAAAAAAATAAAATAAATAAAAAGGAAAGAAAGAAAGAAAGATAGAAAAAAAGAAAGAAAAAGATAAAAATCGATCGCCGAGAAACGCCGCAGAGGTTATTTTTGGGCGTCCAAAAAATTTAAAAAATATCGCGTGGGGCATGCCCTCCGGACCCCGTTTCCGACTGTGATAGGCCATGAATGTCTGTGTGCAAAAGAAGTTGCGATAGGCCTATTATGATCAAATGCAGTGGTTGCGTACATACGCGGGAGGACATGGGGAAGCAAATCCCACCATAAAAAGGCTTTGCCACTCCACCACTGGAAATTTTTCTGAGCAAGCAGAACCAAAACATTACGCTTCCATCAATTTATTTTTCAGCTAGCGCCCCACACTTTATCGTCGAGCACCTCCCACTTAATTCGCGCTCCCCATCTCATAAGATCATCGGGTCACCTGCTCATTTCCAAACAGTATTGATTTATTATCTTTCATTTCTAATATAATTACCGGTGACTCTATTGAACGGCTTTATTATTGATGCCAGCTGTTTATTTCTTTATGAGAAAATAACAAAAAATGAAAAAATTTAAAATATATCGTTTTTATAACTTATTTTTCTATGCTTGAAATTCGTAATTCCTATACTGTACCGTAAACTATTTAGGGAATTTGTGGGTGGGGGTGGAGGGGTAGGTTTAACAAATGTACGGTACGACAGCTGAAATGTGTTTACGTACATTTCAATTGAAATATGGAGAACAATCGATTTAATCGTTGAATTAGCAAACAACGATGCGATCGATTGGCTTAATCAATATAGTGCATATAAAAAATAATCAATACACTATTGTTAGGGCTTTTTTTTTCGTGGACATACTGTTTACATGTACTGTACTGTACCAGTGCCGCATTTATTGTTTTTATACTTCACTCTACAAATACAGCGGCAGATGGTGATGTCATTGAACCACTTGCAATCAATTTCATTTTCAATAAGCGATTGATTTGATCAACATTAGATATATCCATGGTTCTATCGTCTGGTCTATGTGCGTGTGTGGTGGATGACCTTTGTTTTATATCAAACACGAGACAATTTTAAATTACCAGTTTGATCCGTTGAGCCTCAATTCAAAAGTTGAAGGTTGGCCATCCAACAGAAAAGAAGCCGTACTAAATACAGCGATCCCAAGATTTGGTAATCCTTAATTAGTTAAAATACAAACATTCTAAGTATTCAAATCTTGATTGGCTGTTTTCCAGCACGCGTTCACCACACGCACATTTAAATGCACGTTCGCAACATACTGTCTCACAGGGGCGGTTAACACTCATATAAAACACGTTCACATGAGCATTTATCGTCTAATAAAGGCCAATATGGTAATCGACTACGTGTTTTTCCTAATTGTTTATTATTAAAATATGAATATGAAGGCTCATCCATGCATTTACGTGAAGCTATTTTTGAATCATATGATGGGTACTTTTGAACGTTCTTACAACGTTGTGTGAACGTTATTTTGTGACATATTTATCTACAACATTCGTGAACGTTATAAGAACGTTTTGTGTTTGCTGGGGTGCTATAAGTCTCTCTGTGTCGAGGGGAGGGGTGTGTATATATGTTGTGATGAAAATGTGATCGAATTAACGATGCATTGAATAAGCGAATGATGACGCAATCCCAAGATTAATAACGTCGATATATAGTCTCTATATGCCGGATGATATTGATCGATTCTGCTTTATCCTGCCCCCTCAAGCCATCAAAAACACAACATGTCTGTTGAATAATTTAGAATGTAATTTAAGAGATCAATTTAGAGAAGTATTATGAATTTTAGATGTTACTTCCCGGCACGGTCCTGCTGAGGCGAAAATTTCTCTAGAATCAATAGCTGATTGGTCCAGAAAATCTCCAGTATTTAAAGACTTCGGAAGTGTTGATGATTGGTGCACATTTCTGACTGTTATTTTTCCATCTATATCTTCCGATTCAATGCCTATAAAATTGATTAATAAGCTTTAAAATGAATGAAACGGAGCGAATTTCCGGAAATTCAACATCTATGATATATTATTATTATTATTATTCAGAACTGTTTTCATTGAGTATTGTATCAAGACACAGAACCATCAAATAATTTTGCAGGAGGGGGAATTTAATAAGTTTATAAAATTATGATTACAACATTTTTATATTTGGCATTAATATTCGCATTTTGCCAGCTTTGTTTTTTATTTATTTTAAAATCGATATTCATGGCAATTGGGCTGCCTTACACATGGGATGGCAATTCATTTCACAAGACAAACTTACCTATGCTGTACAAGACCAGGTACGCACTGCGTCGTACCTCCGTCGGCCGACGAAACCAACTCCTGCGAGCGCTAGACGACGCGACGCCGTCTTCTGATGGTCGGTGACGTGAACGGTCATTGAAAATTCCGTTGCGCGCGGGTCATGGTGTTGCGTTCTCCATGGAATCGCGTTGGCCGATGACTGTCGAGTGCAGTGAATGCCCGGCACATTATGAGACTTAAAAAGTGGAGTTGTTTTTGGACGTTCCTGCAACGTACGGTAGAAATTGAACGCAGGTGCCCTGGATTGCATTTGGAAGCCGGGATTGGAAGGCATGGCATCTTAAACGCCTGGCTGCAACCCCACTTAAATCAATACGGTACCCGACGTTTAATAATTACTAGATATAAAGGTACCCGGGTACAGCTGTTGATCAATCATTAATAGACAAACTTATATTAATAGACAGAGTTATATTTTTCTCCATATTTTAGACTGGGTCAAGTAGGCTAGGCCTATGTGTGTAATTGCTTAGTGTAATGACGGAAAGCCTGATGCAATCTGAAACTTCAAATAAATCACTTGTTCATTTAAAGATATATATATATATATATTATATATATATAATATATATATACTATATATTTATACTATATATATACTATATATATATACTATATACTGTATATATATACTATATACTGTATATATACTATATATATATTGTATATTATAAATTGATAATTGTTGCGAATTTTGTTGACTGTGGCACAGCATCAACTCATTATTCCGAAAGAAGAGGTTAATATTGAGTTAAAAAAAATATAAAGTTTTCTAGTCTATATCATTATTATATATCGGTGTGCCGTTTTCAAACTATATTGACAAATATTAGTAAATTATATCAGTACTGTATACAATTATTCAATGACCAATTTACCACGCCCAAAGTTTGTTTTCGATTATTAAGTGTCCACCTATTTTTGATAATGGTTGAGTCCTGAGTAATTTGTTTCCTTCGGCGTTCATCTGATCTGCTTTGTCGATGCGACGTGTTCGACTGCCTCGGTCTTTGTAGGATCGATCAAAATGGCCGCAGCTAATATTACTTCGATGTTTCAGTACTGGAAAAACTTCAATCTACAAGAATTACAGGTAAGTAAAACTCAAAACATATGTTAATTTGTGTGATATGAACATTGCAGACAGAATTAGATTTGTTTGGTGTAGTTTAGGTGAAGTTTTTAAAGAAAAATTGTAGGAAATTGATTGGTAATGGTATCAGCGATCGATTGTTTTCAGCATTGAAACCTTCATTCAATCCAGGCAAGTGAGTTCGCGCTGTATACAACAACACAGCGATTGAATTGAGCGAAGATACGCATAGCAGTGTTCGGGCTTGTGAAATTGATGAACGATATCGCGATCAAAAGCGATCTATATAGCAGATTGAAGAATTGTAGTGAATCGTGAATATTAAGTGAATCAGTTTACACTGTTTACAATTCTGTAACTTACATTGTAGTCAGAAACGGAGACTTCGCAATTTCTTTAGATGGGGTAGACTAACCTACGTTTGGACGTGTGAGTAGAAAGAGCGGAGCGGTTTTTTAATATCAAAACTGGAATCGCTACTAATCAACAATAGAAAATAGTTTTAAAAAGACCCATTTTCCCAGAAATAGATTTTGCTAATTGCAATTTTAAGACGATTTGTATAAATAGTAATTGTCATAAAACAACATGCAAATTGGAGAAACCATTGTATGAAGTAAAATGATTTAAAATGAAATTTTAAAGACAAAAAGTTTTCAAAAAATTACTGTTTTGTTTGATTTTTATAATAATATTAATATAAAACAAGTGTGTGCAAACAAATATTAACCTGAACAAACCAATTTATCTTTACTTAAAAATCTATACCAATATAAATAAGAACACTGTCATCCATTGTTTTGACATTTGGTGTTCACTGGGATTTTTTAGACATGTTTTTACAAAATTTTATGATTTTACTTAAAATTAATAAAAGTTTAGAATTTGAGTAGCTGATAAATGACAGTGTAAAATAATATTTTTCTTTTTATTAATCCTTGTTTTTTTTTCATTGTTTCTTTTGCACGTAGTAAGGATGTCTGAGAATCGACAAAAAAAGCACTTTTTAAGATGTACATTAAAATTAACTTGCTCATTTTGTAGTAACATACAAATTATTAAATTGAGCATATAAATTATTGAGTTTATGTGTACATTGATTTTTATATTGGATAATAATAAAAGTAATAAAACACTGCCAGTGACTTGAAGGGAGTCCATCATGTACACTTACTTGTTTTGTAGATTTGGATTCTTTTTTATATAATTTCAGGTCTATAGTTTTATCATCATACCGAATTAATTTATTTTGTTTAGTGACATTGGATAATTATAGTTTGTGTTACTGATATGAAAACATATTTCTGTGTTTGGCTGCTAACTAAATAAATTTTGACGTGAAATACAGAAATGAATTATTAATTATAAAACACAATACATTTTATTTTTGGTAATAATTTTTAATTTTTTTAATGCTGATGTGTAAACACATAGATGCAGATCTTTTATTGTCCGAATTCAGTTATAGTCAGAAAATATTGCATTGTCTAATTGTTGCTGAATAATTTGAGACAGTTTTGAATACCTTGAGCAAACATTATTTTAAACAAATTGTAAGAGGCGGGCAGAAAATATAAATAAATATAATTTATAATTGTTATAAATATAGTATAATTCTAAATTTAGCAAAATTTGTTTGCCAAAAATATCTAGGCTGAGGAAATAATGAAATTTTATTGAATCAAAAAGTACAAGTGTGCGAGATACAAAAAGTTAATAGAGGGCGCCCAAAGGCTCTTGATCGAGATCCCAACGCATGATCGTAAAGATTATAATGTTGTGCGGTAGGCTTAAACATTTCAGTAATCGGATTACTTACTGCAATTAAATGGTAGCATATAAAAAATATGTAACAGAAAAAACACTATTGTTGTGATGGGTGTGCTAACAGACTAAAAATAAAATGTTTTTCTTTTAAATTATTGCTATTGTATTATAGGCAGCAAGTTCACGAAAGAAAGGGTAAAAAATTGCGCCTTATATTAAAAATGGCTTTGAACAAACCTTTTGAATTTCATTTAAAAGTTGAAAATAATTGCACTAATTTTAGACTGAAATTTTTGATATGCTTGCATCTTTGTTTATTATTTTTTGTTCATTTTCTATCTTGTCAACATATTTTGTCGAACCAATTTATCAATTTCCTTTTATGGTTTACTTTGTGAAAAGAGAATGAGATAAAAATACAGGAGACGAAAATAACAGGAAGTAAAGATGGCATTGCGTCCCTTTCAGTAATTACGAGCTTGAATCGTATTTCCGGACTGAAATAATGTATTTATTGATTTAGTGCAAATGATGAATTCATCAATATGCCATATGTAAAACCAAGGTCCTTTATTGATCGTTAGTTCTAATCGGTCTTGATTAGATTGTCTGAGAAGATGTACAGAACATAAGAAAATCCAGAAAATAGGATAGACTTTAGGAACCAAGCTAACCAATGTAGAAAATTATCGTACAAGTTCACCTCTTTCCAATTATAGCATAACATGAATTCCTTTTCAAAAAAAATATTTTAAATTGAATTGAATAGCAGTGCCATTTACAGGGTACAGTATGGTTGTCAGCATTTTCTCTACTGCAAAGAAGCCTCTCTTTGTGCTGTCTTTTTTTAGATCAATAAAATTGTTTAAATATTTGAGATAAAAATGTCTGATAATAAAAAGATCATTAAATTTCAAAAAGATTTGAATATTGTTTCAGGACATTTAGGGGTCATCCATAATTTTAAACATTTTCAAAAGAGTACAAAACATGCTCTCTTCTGTGACCCTGTCATCCTCTGAAAGAGCACTCAAAAAATGTTGATTTGTATCTTTTGAGATCAACATTTTTTCTTTTTCATGAAAGAGTACTTATGCTTTGCACTTTCTATCCCCTCCCCTCTCCCTAAAGCATATATTTTGTAGTCTTTTGAAAATGTTTATAATTATGGATGACCCCTTAGCAAAATCACGACACTATATAGGGTCTGTAGCAAAATAAAAAAAACTTGAAACAAGAATACACATTCCATTACATACTTTCATCCCTGCAGTTCAAAGGTCATTTAAAACTATAGGTACAGAGATTTATTTTGTCTTTGTTATTTCCTTTACAGGGTTCAAAGCATGTGTAGTGGTTTTCTATTTGTCACCATAAAGGCAATCAGCATTATACTTTTTTGTACTATTCTAAATGTATTAAGGATTAGAATTCAGTCAAACAATGAAATACCTAAAGTCAATTTAAAGATTTGCTTCGGGTGATTCTTCAATGAAAAAATTTCCTATTTAAAATGATCAGTTTTTGAAGTTGCAAAGCATTCAAGTTCCAACAAGTTTTAAAAAGTTTTTATTTGTTTCTTTATTGTATGTTGTTTTGTTATTTTGTTTATTTTTGTTTCGGCATTTGTAAAATCATATTTTTTGTGCCGGATACTAATAGATTATGCTTAACCTGAAGAAAGTGAATGGAATTCCATGTTTTATCAAATTTAGATTAACTATAAAACATTCAACATAGTTCCATTTCTGTCTATCTGTTTATATTTATCATCATCAAAAGTTCTGTGCATATTATAATTTTATCCAGAAATAAAAAAGAAAACTAATATATGTTTTTCCAACATTGTGTTAAACTATTCACAAACTTCTGTATAAGTGGTAAACTACTGATGAAAACTAATAAAAAAGTTTTTAGTGGTTTATCTGTGCTATGAATAGAATGAATGCAACTTCATTTTTGTCCTGTTTGATTAAAAGGAGGTCTACTGTATACAGTACAGTATTTCTTTAGCATCTTTCAAGTTTTGTTTACAAATTTTGCCTTCCTTTGCTATAAATTCCAGAGGCTAGACATTGGTTTTATGTTTCACATATGACTACCACTATTGAACACGACACTTGAATGGTTTGCTCTGTTTACTTATTGACCTTTGACCTTGAACATGACTTGGATCAGATTCTTGTTGTGAACTGGTATAATAAAGTCCGCTTTGAAAGCAATTGGTGATGTGCATTTCTTCGTACATAATAAAGTTAGCTCAGAAATATTTACAACTTTAATTTTAAAGTTTGAATGAGTCATTCTTTGTTTTAAATCATTTGTTCATTCATCATTCATTATTTTCTTCATCATTGTCATCTTCCTTTTCTCTGTTATTTTCATCATCTCTGTCATCAGTTGAGTTCATCATCACCATCACCATATTGATTGTTGTAGTCAGTGCTGTTATAACCATCAGCATCGTCAACATCTTTGTTATCACAATGAACAACATTGTTGTCTGCACTATTGGTATCCAGTATCATGATGATGATCATTACATCATTTTTTTTTAATCATTTATTTTTTCATTATCATTTATTTTTTCAAATTTTTATGCTAAATATTTATCAATTTCAATTTAGCTTTTTGGTTTTATATATATGTTTATTCCTCTTAATTTCAACAATGAAGTAAAATACAAACACACATGAGAAATAAACTTGGTTGATAAAGTTTATCCAAAGATATCAGGTGATTCTTTATCACTCCTCTCCTTCGTTTTTCCTTGACCATCAAAATTTTTTTCAATAATGTTGAACTTTATTCTATTGGTGATTGCATGATAAATTATTTTTTTGAAGTCCACATATATTCAATAAACAATTAAAAACATAAAATTGATGTAGTGTTTGTTTATTAGAGTATAAATTTATGTATGTATTAAATATCATCGTGTTATGATTATTGTAAACAGTATAGAGAGTGAATTTAAATTAGTTTCTTCAAAATCTATGTATCAAACAAATATATTGGAAACTTTATGTGAGGAAGGAAATGAAATTGGCAAAGGAATGTCTGCAAGTATGGTATATTATTAATTACAAATCTGTTGAATTGGAAGCAGCCAGTATTGGTACTTATTTTTTTGATTGGTGTAGAAAACACACCTATCATTAAAATAGATTAGTCCAATCAATTTGCATGGGGAAGATATTGCATTTCCATAGCTTATCAACTGGCTAGCCAAT